ATCTCACCCCTCCGATTCTCACCTAGGCATCCGAATAACACGAAAGCAAACGTGAAACACACTCACACTCTGTTCAAACGGCACTGCCCCGCGAAACACTGACTTGCTAATATAATAATAATATTGCTGTCACCGTGGCGCCGACCAAGCAAACGTCTGTAAAATGCGTTTAAGAGGTAGTCAGCAAACAATGACGCTCGTCGTCGCATGTTATTAAAATATTATATTATTATATCTTCTGTACAATAGAGGTATGTGTGTCATTCGTAGACGGACATAATCTGACGATTATTGCACTTTCCACGACGTTTATTCCAACACTATCCGCCTAAACGACCGCACGGAATATTTTATTTTTTTTCAATTTTTTTTCTATTTCGATTCCGTTTTATGCGACGTTGCTGTTATACTGCGATGTATTAAAATATCGTTACTATTTCGATATCTCCGCCGTCTTCGCAGTCGTCTATTATTCTGCCACGAGTTGTATATTATAATATTATCACAGTTGTTGTCGTTATGGCTGGAGCTTGGAGACGAAATCGATTACATCTATAGCATCGTGCAATAATAATAATTATTATAATGTAGTGAATCGAGTGTGTCCGTGTGTGTGCGACGCGCACGTGTTAGTGTGTATGTGCGCGTGTAATAAAGACGGTTAATATAATTGAACGTTATTTCAGCTGTTCGATTCGACATCAATTCGGTGAGTAATATTAATAACAATCTGTCAGATAACTATTGAGGTGTATACTATATTGTATGCGATTGGGGTACCTTATTATATAGATAACGTAAACGTATATAACATTTAACGCCAGTGGAGCTGGTTGAAATTCGGAGACAATGACATAATATCGTGCGTTAATCGAATTATCAGGAGATTAAAAAAAAAAAATCGAATAACTGTATAATATTATAATTACATTATTTTATAGGGAAAGGTAATTACATAATATTATATTAGACAAAATGAGAATGATGATTAAGTTGAGACACTCGACTAAACCACAATGGAAATCTACATTTTGTAGTATGGATGGTATTAAAAAGAAGAACATTATGGTTGACACGATGAGAAACACTTTTGAAAGCCATTTGAATTGGCTTGTTTTTGTGTTGAATTTGAAAGGTTTTATCGTTGATTATCTATCGGTTATTAATTATTAGTTATTTTACATATATGGCACTTCTGACTTCTCAGTTATTATTCTAATTATTTTCTTAAAGATATTATGTATTTATGTACGATAATCACAGTTCAATCAAAAATTAAAACACACAAATTACACACATTTTTCCTAACTTCCAGCTTCCTAAAGGTAATCCCTCTCATATCAATTTTATGAGGCCCGCGAGTAAAATCTAAGGCTTATATAAAAACCACTAACTAAGATAGTGTGGACTAGATACGATGGATTAAAATGTTGTTTGTTGGTATATGTTCCTTGTTAAGTCAATAAACTCAACAGTTATAAACCTAAATAAACTAAATTTATTATGAATACGCATTCAAAAATAAATAAAATTAGATACATTCGAACTGTAGCCCACGAAAAATGTATACTTATTTTTTGGCTCTTGACATTAAAAAGATTTACCTTAGCTCTAAATCAATATTCAACAGTATTTAATAATTTAATACAAAATATTTAAAAGTGTAATAGATGTACGATACATTAGATAATATTATTATTTTATTTTTCTACATTTGAAATGAGAATATAAATAGATATTCAAAAGCATATTTCTAAAATTTTTTTTTTATATTAATTAAATTAAAATTTGATGTTAATTGTTCAAATAATATATCTGGATAGATGACCAATATTGTTCTTAAGTACTTACCTACCTGCAAACGAATCAGAACATTTAAACATTTAAAAGTATTTCATTTATATTGATACGCGTACAATATTTTATAGGCCGTGCAAAGAATAACAATAATAATTATTATAGTATGTAATTATAATAAAAAATAACGTAAATTATAAACAATGCATAATGGGTTATTCTATACAATATGCGATTGTCGAAAAACAATAACGGTTAGGTAGATATTTTATAATAATAATATGGTTGATAGATTTTAATTATGTTTCAGCGTTTGGAAATAAACACAACGTTAAATTTTTACCTCTTTGATTTCTTTCCCGTTGACATCAGATAACGCCAAATGTGTCAACTATTATAATATAATTATTGTTTCATTAACTATATAAAATTCTGAAAAATTATAAGAAAAATTGAAATTTCAAGCTGCTCACATTTGACAATATATCATACAATGTACCAAATATGACAATATATATTTAACCACTCTTGACTTAATTTAATTATAAACTTATTATGTATACTTTCCGTGTTAATATAAATATAGACTCCGCTCATTTAAATTATTTTAAATATGTTTATTATGTAGTTTTATTATATTATTAAGATTTCAAAACAAAATTTCTTAAATGAGCTCTCTCCTTCAGCACAAGCCTTATGCTTTTGAAAGGGGAGCTGTTCAATCATATTTCTAACCTATTTTATATGTTGTATATATATCCATGTTTATTAATTATATTTATGTTAAATAAGTTAAATAGAAACTGATAAAAACATTTAGGTTCATCAAAATCTTGAATTTCGTCATTGTAATTTAAGAAAACAGTTATAGTGCGCTTACGCTCAAACAAAAATGATACAAATTTGAATTTTTTCAAAATTCGTTTTGTAATTATATAGGTTGCAGGTGCCAAATATAACTATACAAGTTAATTAAGTCTACGTGGTTGTTAACTTGTTACTTTCCCCGACTGCTGATTAAGAAGAAAAAACAGATTCAAATAATTAAAGGTCTTCCTTTACAAATATTTAGAGTTAAATTTAAGTTTGAACACACTGTATAATGAAAACGATGTAAGTAGGTACTAAAAATGTCATTAAGTATAACAATAAAACAGCGCAAACTTCATTTCAAGTGCCGCGAACCGTTTCAAATTTAACATTAAATGTACATATTTACGCCGTATAACTCGCAGCCAAATAAAGTGTATACTTATGACTATTTTACACAATATACGAGCATAAAAGCAACGTAAACCTGCGTCAGAGATACATCATAATAAAAATATAACAATTAACAGCCCTGCAGGTTACAGAAATATTACAATCGTTATATTTTATGTATGGAGGTACACTCCGTGATTTCTGAACATGAGTAATATTCAATTTTTTTATTTATTCTTCGAGAAGATAATGGGGCCCACTGGTATAACACTGGTTATGATATGCTTATACAATACATTTATGTACGTCATCATGAACTTTTATTTAAGTAGATACTATTTATTTTATTCCTCGTTATATTGTATTCATAAAAGATAAGCTTACAGGTACCTAATATTATATACTCTAAAAATTGCGAAATATTTTGGTTTTGGTTTTTATAGTATTTTACTAAAGGTTGTACATAATATGGATAGTTTGCAATTATTCCATGATAATATATAAAAGTTATGTATAAAAAAAGTATCTGACACAACATTTTTTTAGTAAGTATGTACTATAATATTATTTCAGGCAGACGTGCAGCAAAACATTTCCATGTATTAGCATTGCTTATCAGACATTTATAATTAATGGATCATTTATAATTAAGACACATAATTATATAATTTCATCTTTTATCTAATACCTATATATATATACAGTAAACGAATGAAAAATTAATTTAAAATGGTCAAATTGACGATGGAAGTACCTTCCTGCTCCCGCAGATACTTTTGTTGTGAAAAATAATACCTAATTTAATGGATTATGAATCATTAAGTTTCATTGTTTAAGAAATATTTTGTAGTAGTAAAAAAATGGAACGAACGTAAAATTTAACGGTAAATTTGCCAAAAAATCTTTTATGGTCAAATTAACTTCTCTAAATATACACGACATACGTTATATAATATGAAGTTTGTGGTATTAGAAATGTAATGGATTTTGAATTCTGAATGTTTTCTGACAGAGTTGTTTTTTCCACTTTTCAGATTTTTTTTCGTTTACTCGAAAATTAAGTGGCCATACATAATAAAATTTATTTATTTATATGTTTGACATAACTGGGTCATTATCTTTAAGGTTCAATCATATTTTTTATAATTATATGAATTTATTATTGTTCCAACCTATAAATACGTTTTAATTTTATAAATAACATTAAAAAAAATGATGCTAAATGTTTAAACTCCAATACCTATTTATAAGAGATTTAAAAATAAATAAAAAGTTATTTGTATACTCTGTATACGTGAAAAGTTGACCATTCGGGTGGGTGCTTTTAAGATATGTGAATCATCGAACAATAAAATGTTATATGAAGAAAAGTTCAACTTTATGAAATTTGCCAAGACCCAATAATAATATAATTTAGCTCATTTAAATATGCTCTAACAACTCCAGTTTATGTTTAACCATAATTTTCAATTTACAAACATTAACGGATGGACGTCATCGTCATCCAAAGAAAAAATTGAACTCTAATGTTAGACTAGTATTTCGCAGACTGTCGACCGAATTATTTATAAATATAATATGCATAATGTACCTGTATACCATAAAAACCTGTATTGGTTGCTACATTTCGAAAATGTATTTTTATTTATTAAAACTAATCAAACAGTTGAAAAAATAATAATTGCACCAAATGAAAATGATTATACAGATGAGTAATGAAGTAAAGTATTATTATCATAACTATGTACCAATTTCACTATACTAGGTATATCATTTATCAATTAAGAGTCATAAAATATGTTTTACACTGTGCGCCTAATGCATTCGACTTATGAATGATATTACAAGTTTTATGTTATAATCATGTCATTATCTACGTTTGGATAAAAATTGATATTAAAAAAAAGGTGAAAAATTGTAAATGAAACACATTTTATATAACTTTAGAACTGAATGTAATATAATAATTCGTCTGACACGTTTGGGTTTGTATGTTTCAGATGACGACGACGCCCGCCATAGTCGCCGTAATGGTGGTGGCGTTGGGTTGTGCGACGGCTTACGAATACGGACCCGACCTGGCAGGCCGATATTGCTCGACCAGACCTAGGGGCTGTTGCAAAGGTCGGCAGGACGACTGTACGGTGCCGATACTGGACACGCTGTGTTACTGCGATGACTTTTGCAACCACACACGATCCGAAGACTGTTGTCCCGACTTCATGTCGTTTTGTAAACACATCGATATTCCTCTGCCTCCAGCGCCTATCAAACGTGAGCAGACCTATCCAAATACAGCTTAACTCAAGCGTATCGTATTATATATTTATAAGCAAACATGTGTGATAACATGCGATTGGTTGAATTGAGTCATACACTTTTTTTAGCATAATTTCGCCCAAAACCATCATAGAAAATTTAATTTAATTATATCATAATGACACCACTTACCATATAGGTAACTACCAAATGACATAGGTACATACTTAATCGTAACGTATTACATTCTTCGTTTTATTATATTATTATACAAAGGGAAAATGTACATTGAAACAACAAAATGTACAATGATTACCTTTATTGTGGTAAACTCAGCCGGATAATTTTTTTCAGCAATTCATTAAATGGTCCCTGCAAGATCGAATAAGAGTCCAACGCTAGGGTATACCCATGGGTGCCCATAGAAGATAATATATCTCATCTACATCATGCTACCTACCTATTATTTAATATACATTTTTAATATTAAGCATTATTATTATTTTATTACTATCGTATCATTGTTCCTCAATGCGCTACCTAAATTATAATAATTTACACTCGACCGTAAGCATATGATCGTTATTATTATTACTTATTATTGTATTGCGCATCGATGTGTACCGTGTGTCATGTGTGTACCTGTGTACAGTGTAAGTAGGTACGCATTCGTATAAAATACAATTTATACTCTGTTCATCCTGTGCACCACAGCCATTGTTTCGGTATTTTTCACGTCCTACAGTGCTATATTGTCGATTTCCTCCAGCTGTTTCATGTCCATTCTAGTGCGAAATCCTGTAATAATGTCGTATAATTATTTTGCAACGTTAGCACTAAAAAAAAAAAACACTAACATTAATGTTAACATTTTTTTTAACAAAATGCGTGTACAAATAACATTCACTATAATATGAAAATATTGTTAAGTTTCCTGCAGTTATTGAACGCTGTTTTAGGATTGTGTTAACTAAGGATGTTGATGCCCCGGGTCAATAAATTCATGTCGTTCCTCTTCCACTCATTATTTTTCGGTCATGTTACATATGTATTTTAATATAATAAGTATATTATATTAAATATATGAAAAATAATACTATTTTTTTTTTCAAAAACGTTGCCTCCTTGCCATCTCGATCCGTTGCATGTTTCACTCCACAGTAATAATAAAATAACAAGCACTGTCTTCTATATATTTTCGTAATATATAATAATGCACAATATTACAATATACTAACCATTTATTTTATATTTAATATCGTTATTACGTTCATAGTGAACTGACATTTTCCACACATCATTTGGTTTGTAATATAAAAATGTGTTTAGTTACAAACCGCCAACTGTTATCGTACTCTGTTGTATTGAGTTGAACATAAATTGCACATCACTATACTGCAGACGATGTGGATGTGGTGTACTGTGCAAAAAAATTATGCATGCGTTACAATAGTAAACACGCACGATGATAATATTATGATGATAATTATCCAATAGATAATAATATGAACTAAGAATTAAGATGAACACGTGTTATTATTCGTGTGACCGTGTTACTGTATTTACGTTTTTGAGGCTCACTTAAAGCTGATTACCTTCTTTGATTACTCTTCACTTCTCAGGAAACCGTTAGACCTCCCTTTTTAAACATTTTACTATAGGTACATTAAAGTCGTATTCAATTATTATTTTAATTTCCATTAACTTTAGTAATCTAACCTAACTTAACCTAACTGTATTTTTTTTTTTTAAATAAATCGATATCCTGAAAAAAATAATTGATTTTCCCAATCTAATAAAAGTACTTTTATTTATTTATATATACAAACACACGATGTGTGATGAAACCGAATGCAAATTATTTACTACACGTATATACGGAATAATGTATTCATGAATTTACCTGTTCATAGTTACTATTAGAATTTATATACATAGTGTATTATACATGATATATATATATATGTACAGTACGTGTACGATCGTACATAAAGTAATAATTAATACTTGCACAACGTCCTAATAATATTTAATATTATATTATATGTATCGAATTGTGTAATTATAAATCATGTTATTTTCAATTAAGATTAAGTATAATTATAGACGTGTTTAAGGTGAACACAGTTCATATTAATATAATATGGTAATAATCAAATAAAAATAACCTACCATTTTAGTAAAAAATGTTTTTCTAAATATTTTTGCAGATTGTTACGCCAATGGACAGACGTATAAGTATGGAGAAACGGTCAACATCAATTGTAACGAATGGTTAGTTAAGTTGTTCGTAATTAAAATTAATCAACTCATTTCCCTCCAAGATTTCACGAATTATTAAAAAAAAAAATTAATTTAGTTAAAACACTTAAAACTATAATGTATAACATATTATGTAACTTTAATAGACTTGAAATTATGTAACATGAACTGCTAGGTAGTCCAAGTCGGATTTCTCTATGTTATAGCTGTTAGTAAATAAATCGAACAACTTTTTAGCATTTCGATGACACTTAATTTATAATAGGACTAGCTGTTTATGCATTAGAATAAATAATAATTTAAAAAAATCACCGTAGTCGATGTCAAGAGTCCAATGGCAAAACACAGTTGATGTGCAGCTCAAACGAATGCCTCGTCGATACGTACATTTTGGATACTCTAAGACACCAAGGGCACCGGTTTGGATGGTCGGCTGGCAATTACAGCGAATTTTGGGGCAGAAGATACGACGAGGGGCTACAATTGCGACTTGGTACACTGCATTCAAAGAAAAAGGTGTGTGTAACACATCGAGTCATACTTAGAAAGTTGCACCTAAGTTTGTACCCGATGTAATAACAATACTATAAATCATAATTTATGATATTATATTTAAGTGGACGCATTCTTAAATTCATACACATTAATTCTATACCTTAATATTGTTATAGTCATATGTATGTATTTAAGGTGGAACCAATGGCCCCTTTAATATGGGGTTGTTCATTTTGGCAATCGTTGAATTACATCCCAATATGACGATAAAATTGAATCGGTACACGTTTTGTTATACCGTCATACAAGTAGATCAGAATTTTCTCCCTTATTTTGATTGAGTAGAAAACATCGAGGACTGAAAATATTTTCATTTTATCAGACAAAAACAATATTTAACTGGTTATAGTGATACACTGATACTTGAAGACTATTTTAATTATAAATTTGTCTTGAAAGTGATTATATCAAAGTAGAAAATCAAATATATAATTACAAGTATCAGTATGTATGATTGAACTTTTTTGTTTAGTAATATTATAATTTATATTCATGACGAATTAAAGTTCAAAAAAGCCTAAAAAGGAGTTTGGGCAACTCTAAATTCAAAATTAACTTTTCAAAGTATTGAAAATGATGACATCCCGAGAAATCAGTCATGTTTATAGGGGGTGTTGCATTATAATAATATAGAAATTATTAAGGGAAAATGTGTTGAACAAAATTAAAGTACCCTTTTTTTAGATATAGTCAATATACATAAACCAATATAGTTTTCTGTTATATTGTTTTGTCAGTAACGAGAATGATGTTCGTCCAGCGCTAGTTATTAAAGTGTATATACATATTTTTAATTGTAACGTTCTGTTCAGATTTTGCAAATGAAGCCGTTGAAAGCAGCGTACCAGCGGGGTAAATTACAGCCATCTTACGATGCCCGTAAAGTCTGGGGAAAAATCATCTCGCAACCGATCGACCAGGGCTGGTGTGGGGCGTCCTGGGCCATAACCACTGTCCAAGTGACCACTGACCGTTTCGGAATCATGAGCAAACGCGTGATCGACGACGTTTTATCGCCGCAACACCTGTTGTCGTGCAATAATCTCAACCAGCAAGGGTGTCAAGGCGGCCATCTGACCAGAGCGTGGAATTGGATTAGGAAGTTTGGGTGAGTATAGTTACACGCTCAACCAAACAAGCCTGGACAAAACGGGAAGCCGGGAGAGGTAGCCTAGCCTGTGGTCAGCCTAAAAGTGGTAGTTTATATTTATAGAATGAAAATCATTAAAAAGTTATACGATTTTATTATTATTATTTTGCGAACTATTTTAATCATCTTATACTGAAACCTGAAATACATAGAAAAAAATAAATTTTGGGTTTTTTTATTATTTTTAATTTCAATTCTAATTTATTTCATATGTATGATGTACCTATTTATACTTACTTTTAATATTTATTTATTTATTTTTAATTATTTGTAATATTTTAATATTTTACTTTAGAATTGACGATCGTAATAATTTATAGTAATTATATAAAAATTATGAGTATATAGGTTACACTAATTTCACGTGATTTTCAAATCTTCCACTAGAACAGAGTTCATATTATATATATATATATATCCATCTACGGGGGGGGGGGCACAACCGAGTATATCATATGACGTATGAATCGAATTTATTTCATTGTTTTCAATAAAACCGCGATCGTGTTCCACAGACTGATCACAGAGGATTGTTATCCTTGGGAAGGCCGAATGTCCACTTGCGCAGTGCCGAAAAAGAAGAAAGAAACAATGGCGCAGTGTCCGAGTCGCGTGAGATACAATAACGACCGTCTGACCAAAACTCGACTGCATCGGGTCGGTCCTGTTTACCGGGTGGCCACAGAAGAGGGTATCATGCACGAGATTATGACCTCAGGACCAGTCCAAGGTACATATGCGTCTGACTAGATGGCTTATTATTATAGTAGTAGTATATGCACATACAGTGTTCATAATTATTATTATTGATTAATGTTTTAATCTAAGGTCGCGTATAAGTTATACAAGCTAAGATCGATTTTTTAGGGGCGAAGGAATTTATACAATATATTTTTAACCTATTGGCACTTAATTTTGCCCACATATTCCTCGAGACTTGGAAAGTATTTATAACTTCGTTTTCGACCCATATATAGGTAATAGGTTACTATTTACAAGGTAGCTCACTTAGGAATTTAATTTTAGCTCACAAAATTCGAATATTTTTTTGTTTGTAATAATTTATAATACATAGGTTTGCCGAGTTGCGTCGGTTGCTATAGGTTACAGAAATAAAAAAGATGGTGGCTCGTAGGAAATAAAAAAGAGAACTTATAAAATGATAAAATATGTGAAGAGAAGTCGAAAAAACCGATCTGTTCGATTGTATAGAGGGGTGGTCAAATTTGATTGTAAGGGGCGAAAAACTTCTTCATAAATCCTTGAATATTATAGTCACAATAACGAGTTCCGCGTATAACTCTGTGTACAGTATTATAGTTTATCCTATAAACATTATGTATATTATAATGTTTTATTTTAGGTGCTCGTAATCCTTTTGTGTGCAAACTCTGTCAAGGTTCGAATGAGTATTGCGGTCTGTAATTATTACTTGTACCTAAATACACATAAGTACACGTGCGCGCTTACGACCTTCACAGTTCGAAACACGCCTAGGCCAGATTTTAACTTTACCGTTCTTTCTCCGGGTTATTTTTATATTCTTAACTCGAAGCTGCCTTAAAGTTATACCTCGGGCTACCGCCTATATTTTACTTATTGATGGCCATCCGTCGTAATAGATGAATGAATTATGAACGTGCCAATTATAAACCTAACCTATAAACAGGGTGATCCAACAAGTATGCTCACCCCCTTTTTTTCTTCAACAATGAAGTTTTTCAAAATCTCATTTTTGAAATTTTGAAATATACTCAAAGACCATACCTTCATATTCTTGAGATTTTTTGTGCCATTTAAGGAGTGTCCTGTGGCGATACGAACCTTTGTTTTTCAAAAGAGAACCCCACTTTTTTCTTTAAATTATTTAAGTTATTAAAGTATTGAGTTGACAATTTTTTTGAGATATTTTATGTATCGAAATCAAAACTCGAACTAGTGGTTTCCTAGTTATTGGACGATTTGTAGGTACTAAGGATAATAGTCCATAATAGGAATATGCTTATACAGTTCCACACATAGAATAAGAAAAATAACTAAATAAATCAAGAAGGATTTTACTTGCTATTTATACTTAAGTGTTTGACTAAATGAATATAAAATGACGTATTATTTTATATTATGTGTATAGACTATAGATAACAACGTATGCTGTATAAGCATATCCTTATTCCCTATTATAAACTATATTAACCTTAGCACAAAATTTGTAATAACTAGAAAACTATTCGTTAGAATTTTGATTTCAATACATCAACATTCTTAAAAAAATTATCCGCTAAATAATTTACAGTATAAAAAGTGAGGTTCTCATTTGAAAAAAAAAGTTTGTATCGCCACAAGACACGTCTTAAGTGGTACAAAAATTCTCAAGAATATGAAAATATGGTCTTTGAGTATGTTTAAAGATTCCACAAATCAGATTTTTAAAAAATTCATTATTAAATAAAATGGAAGGTGAGCATACTTGTTGGATCACTCTGTATACAAACAGTAATATTAATAATATTTTCCTTTTGGAGTAGAATACCAAAACAAATTTCGATCTAACTTCATACCAACTAGCTAGACAGTACTGCTGTAAACGTACCAGCTTTTATGAAATCTAATAAAAACGTGTAGGTATTTACACATAATATTATATTGATCGAGTATCGTGAGAGAATGAACTCAAGGCAGTCTTTGCAAATATTGTCTGGTTTGAATAATTTGTGCAGCAAAGGTGAACACGTAGGTACGTAAGACAATACAGTTCCAACTCGTGTTTGTTGCAGTGACAATACGAGTCTTACAACAATAAAGTTCTTGGGCAATACGATTTTTAAGACAATTACTGTTTGACAATAAAACCGTATTTCAATACGGCACAATGACAAATGTGCACAATGGTATTGGAAGTTTTCTAATTTAAAAATCAAATTTTTCGTATTTATATCGGAGTTCAGAATCCTACTAGTTACTATACTCGTATAAATATAATACTGATTTTTCGATGAGAATGAAAATATATACCTTTGTAACATACATATCATATCGAAAATTCACTTTATATTATTACATTATTCGTCATTTATAGTAATTATAATGCTCATTTAAACATAATAATGTACTAAATATAATCTATAAATATTGAACTTTTAATAAATTACCCATAAACATTATACAAAGGTATTTAAAGATTACATGAGTGGTGTACTGTGCAAAACATTTCAAGAGCATCAGTTATATATTGTCATTTGTCACTCCACTTTTCTTATCTATACTACCTACAGACGATTATAAATAATAATCTTCACACCGTATAGTATGATAATTGATAACTAGAGCTAGGATTTTCATGACCTAAACAATATACAAAAATGCACCAAAAAAAAATGACCTAAAAACTCTAAAAAATGAAATTAAAATATGACCAAAAATGCACTTAGATGAACGAAAAAAATTTATTTTAAAAATAAATATTATTATTAATTATTAATTATTAATTATGAACATAATAGACTTGTGAATGTAACTGCTCCCTGATATAATTATTCTGAAAAATTAATAAAAGCATAAATTTAATTAATTTAATGAAAAATATTTCATATTTTTTTTCACCTGTGCACATGTCACATATTATTGCATTGCACAATTAGATGATTCTTAAGATTTTCAAACAGCAAGCTGCGACGGCGATCAGATAAAATGTTTTTATATGAAGAAAAACTTCGTCCAACGTCCACAGAAGTAACAGGGGCATGTTTGAAATGAACCATATAATTTAAAGTTCCGGAATACCATCTCTACTTGTTGTATTTTCATTTTTCACCGACCAGAATAGCAGATTATTTTTTAAGACTTTGAACCCATTATTTTTCATCAAAACATTTTTCAGTTTGTTTGATATAGTTTCTCCGATTACATTAGGAGCAAGGGACAATGTAGTCTCAATTTATTTTATTAATAGATTATGATAATAAGATTCCAGAAGTCTCCAGAGTTTTTATTTCTGAAGGAATGAAACCAAACTTAGATTTTATATAAATTAGATTAGTCACTTAATTTGATTTAGACATAAGTTCTTTTGCTTATTTTATAGTAGTCGAATCATTATGATTTCATTTAAACAAAACTTTTTTTACACAACAAAAATTCTCACAATTGTAATTTACAGCATTTAGCCAGGTTCCCCATCGCGTGATTACGAGTTCGGATGTCAATGGAATTCCTGGGGAAAAACAGTTATAAACATTTGTGTACGATGTGGTGATTTTAAAAATATTTTTTTTACGCAACTTATAAGTTTTATAGACATCTTGAAAATCTGATCTTATTTCTTCCGCAACTCTACGAATTGCATGCGCCACACAGGTAACATGCACCATTTTTGAATACAGAGTGCAAATGGCTCTTCCTGCTTTCACCATATATGAGACAGTATCAGATACAAAAATGAGGACATTATCGAGTTTTATTCCTTCAGGCCATAATGTAAACATGGCTTTATCGAACGCTTTTGCATTGGTTGAATGATTTGTTTTTTCCAAGACATCTAAATATAGCAAAAATATTTTTCCTGAATTTTCTGGTTTCAGGGTACCAATAACGATATTTACTACATAACGGCCTTTAACATCTGCCGTTTCATCTACACTAACCCAAATTTTTGTATCGCCTACATGGTGTCTAATATTTCGTATTGTATTTAAATATAATTTTCAACATCATTTTTACTGCAACATTACAAACTTCACAAAAAAGCACCATACCGTCCGTAGAAAAAATATCGGCACCAAACTCGCTCACAAGACTAAGCAAACGGCTTCCTACTGTTGACTTAATTTTTGGCATTTTGTTCGGGTCGTTGTAAATTGCGTTTGTTTTAAAAATTGTTTAAATTGTGCAGCCGACCGGAAATCGGAATATCCCAGGTCGCAATTCACGTAGGTATATATAAAATATACTCAGGCCGCAATTTACGTATGTATAAAATATACCCAGGCCTCAATTTACGTATATATAAAATATACACGGGCCGCAATTTACATAGTATGTGACTATGACCTTTTTTAGGGGACGCAATTTAACGACTCCGTTTTGAACAGTTAAGATCGGTAGAACCACATAGGTACGTGTCGAATTCACTACTAAATCTACTATTGTATACCTAAATAGTTATGGGTTCGTTCGATATTTAATCTTATCGGATACATCGACAATTAATTATACTACTTTTTCAATATCAATGGACTGGAGTAGGTAATTGCCTATAGGTACTATAATTGGGATTACCTTTACAACACATATGAAAAAAGCTTAAAATAAACAAAAATTAGTTTAAATTCACAAAATGAACATATTATTTGTAATATTACGTAAAAATGACCTTAGAAATGCAATAAATATGCAAGATAAAAATAAAAACAAAAATCTTCCTTTACCAAAATAATAGTTGTAATGATATTGTGTTTTTATATCATATCATACTAATTAAGTTGTAATTAATAATTAATAAACTGATACTTAATCTCATAGATCGGTATTCGGTATATTGTTTGGCATTGATGTATTATATTATTGTATAATATGAAGTTAATCGAACGTCGTTGACGTCATTTTTTGCAGCCGTTATGAAAGTGTCCAGAGATTTTTTCATGTACAAATCGGGGGTGTACAAATGTTCGAATTTGGCGTCCGGATCGAAAACAGGATATCACTCAGTGAGAATCATTGGTTGGGGCGAAGAGTACCAGGGTGGCAGGATCATCAAATATTGGGTAAGCCAGACTAAGAGTAGGGCCAGACGAACCGCTACGCGACGGCCAAATCGCTAATAATTAAGATTAATTAAATTTTTTTTTAATATTGTACTGTAGTATAATACAACATAATTTCAAAGAAACATTCAAAATTACCCCCCCCCCTCATTCCTTCTTTTTCAAATGACGATACTATTATTATTGTCTGTGTTCGTAGATTGCGGCAAACTCGTGGGGAAGTTGGTGGGGCGAAAACGGATACTTCCGGATACTGAAGGGCGAATGCGAGATTGAAGAGTTCGTCATCGCCGCGTGGGCGGACGTCGACGACTTTGATGTGACCGGGAGTCCGCTGGGATACGACGTGTTCCTACTGAACAGTCGAAAGGCAAATTCCGTCTGAACGAGCTCCGTGGTTAGGTTATAAGTTCGCAGTCTGAACCAGATTGGAAAAAAAATCTACTCCACGGCATCTACAATCATGCTGGACCCCAAATATGAATAAACCTACATATATATAATATATATATATATGTACGATGGACAAAAGTAGACAAAAAATAAATTTAAAAAAAATCATTTTATAAACGAACTTCGTTCGGTATTTATAATCGCTACTTATATAATAATACATATATATTATATTAGATTATCATAATTTAAACATACTGTTTGTCCACAAAGTGATTTACTCTTAAACCGAGTCGTATCAAAAACATGACTGATAACTATCACAAACTTAATGTTTCGAACCAAACACTTTTTTGTCTTACAAAATAAAACACTGGAGCACCGTGACTATTCCACCATTAGGAGGATTGCTCACCCTGCAGGTCTGTTATGTCCATGAAGACGAAGTTGTACATTTAGGATTCGTGAAAGCATTTATTGATAGATAACATAAGTAATTTAAAAATTCCCGACCTTGAACTATTGATTCGAAAAACTATGGTATTTCACAAGAGGACTTCATTAAATTAGATTTACCTATAACAAATAGTATACCTACCTGCTATATTATATATATTCTTTATTTATTAACAATTAAAGTAAAAGAAAAATGTTTTAAAAAAATATCAAAATATCAAACACTAGAATTCAATATAGAATCTATATTGTACTGACTACAAACGCCATTAACTCTCCAGGCATTTACTTTGGAAAACTAGGTAGAGAAATATGCTGAAATTCCTGAAGAATAATTGGATAGATAGGAAAAAAGAAGGTATCTATACCTAAAATCTACTCCATGTAATATGTTTATTGCGTGATAAATATACAAATATTATTTTTTTTAACTTAAAGAACTGCTTGCAAGCATATAATTAAAAAATATTGAAAATAAATAGACCACGGAAGAATACGTTTAAATGAAATCTGTCAAAGTTCAAAATGTATGAAAGAAAATTAATTTTCCTATTTTTTTTTTTTGAATCAACTAAGTATTTTAAATTTTGTTCATATCTTTATGAACCTGATCTCTACTTTAGAAGTTAATTTTGCTTCACATAAGTTCTTTTAAGTTAATAATTATGTATTACAATTTCTTTTTTTTGTCTTAACTATTAAAAAAATATATTTATTATTTTGGATTCATTATAATTAATAATACTACATTTCATGTTCATATTAAGTTTTATTATATGTAGTAAAATTAAAGTTAAAAATGTCCAATGTTCTATTGTTTGTCCAAATGTATTCATATTAATCTGAGCCTAATCAATACATATTTTGTAAGACAACCACTTTTTTTTTTTTTGATAAACACATAATGTGGAATGCAATACTGCAATACCACAAAGGGTTCATTATGAATAAAAAGTATAAACTTGTAATTTTAATATTAATTAAATTAAAATTTTAACACAAGGTTTTTATATCTTTAAATACTGTATGAGTTTCCTTTGAATTGAAATTATTTAAGCGTTAACTTCATCCTAACATAGAGTAACACGTGGTATGATTAAGTCATATAATAGAACTATTAAGACAGAGAAAAGCTAATTCATTTTATAAAAAAAAACAACACCATATATTATATAGGTATATAAGCAATTTAGAGAAAATGAACGAGATTGTGAATTCAGTTCAATTTTACTATTAGAACTAGTTTATTCTTAAATAAGCTCCTCAAGATACGAGAAACAAAAATATGACGATTGTGAAGTATACACATTGCACAAGTAAGTTCCAATTTATTTGTCATGTATCCGATACATTCATAAAAAAAAAAAAACATTGTGTAAGCATAATAAAAATGTATTGATAAAATATCTATTACTTACCCATATTGCAAGAGAACAGATTAAGTAAAAAAATAAATTTATTTAATACTTTTATTATAAATACATCTTAAGTTTAAAGGAAAGCACCTGAATTTGATAGGTATATTTTTTTATTTTAACGAACTAACAGAAGAGATACTAGGTTGTATATTAGAGTATAGATCGCTATCTCTTTTAATTTTTTTGTTATCCATGTAGGTATAGCAGAACCATAAAGGCAAGGAAAAAACATTTAGTTTTATTATGATATATAATGTAATATTAATGATATTTCAACTTTAAATTGATAACAAATCATAAACTTTTTTGAGGGGGGGGGGTGTACATTTTTTTTCGTTTAGGGTTCTTATAAAGTTGACCACTTTTCTGTGAATATAAAATTCAAACAATTTTCAAATTGGAAAACTAATTATAGTATTCTTAATTAATTTTTCTAACAACTCATTGATAAAAAAAATTATCTGACAGTTCATGTGTTAACAGTTTTAACAATAAAATATTATTTTTTTAAATACACGGCAAGACTTAAGACATTACAACTATGTTAATGTTTAAGTAAATTTATACCAAGGACATTCACCCCATTAGTAAGATTGGTAAGCTCAGCTGTTCAAGGGCTAATGAAGTCCTCGAATGTTAGTGGTAACTGCAATAGAGGTGGGTAGTCCACTGGATTACTGGTCCACATGGTCCACGTTTTCTTATTGAAGTCGAAAACCCCTTAAAGACAAAATTATTATTTATAGTAACTTTGCATGAACACACTATAGTTACACCTCAAATGATTTTTAATTCACTGAATAGTTTCAAGTTTCTACGTTTAATATTTTTTTTGATAAATAACAAAATAACAAAACTCGTTAGAGAATAAACCTTTATTATGCATTTGAATAAAGAATAACCAATATTGATGACACATTGATATCAGTCGTCCTTAAAAACATTCAATAAAATACAAGTATGAGAAATCTTGATCTTATAAAAAAATTAATTTTGTTTTAAAAATTTAAAACTTGTTTTGCCTAAAATGTCAGTTTTTAAATAATGTTTTTGATTCTGTGTGGAGTGGGGAATGTATACATTTTTCATTGATGTGTGTTTTCATTATTTGTTTTTGTCACATACAATTAGATAAAATATTCATACCGTAAAACGCCTACTGTATAAAAAATAATTACTGGTTAATTACTACTATAAACCGTAAATTTATAAATCGTAAGTAAATAACTTATAATTGCAAACGCCATATCATATAATATACCTTCCTAATAATTTAGACTGGCCGTCTTAGCTCAGATTCGTTTTTCGTATGCATTTAATTATCATGGAATTCAAATTGAACATAGGTAATATACATTTCAGTGATTTACTCGAAGACGAGATGCCTACAATCCACATTCATTGTACTGCAGTACGGTTACCAACTTAATACTTTTTTTCTTTTTCCCGATTATTCAGAAGAGAACTGTACATTTTAGCACACTTTTCCAAAGTACCAAATAGATCTAATACGCTACTTGAAACCACTATCAAAGTTTGAAACTGAAGTATTTTTTTTATTCCAAAAGATATAAATAGATAAGTAGGTACAAAAAAAAAACATTATTGTAAAACATTCATTTCTCCGCTCAGAATTCAAAAATATTAATGAATATATTGTTTTCTTCGGAATATTCTCAAAGATTTACCACAATATAATTAATAGCGTACAAGTGGCTGGAGAAGATGATGGTATCCAACCCACCAACTTGGTATTTTTATTACAATACATACATATATATAAATAATTATATACAATTAAAAAATGTTTTTGAATTTGATCGGGAATATCTGTGTACACACCTCTAAGTCTAATAATAAAATTAACTGCAGTATCCTTAATACTTTTACGTAGATATTAATGGAGTGTTATATTAGTAAAATTAATGACGTGTCATTAATAAAAAGCGCTCACCGAAGTTTATTGTTTTCTCGCTGGCGTTGGGTGCGTCACTAAATATTGGCCAAGGTTGATCTTCCCTGTTTCCATATATTGTTAACAACTCTTTCAGGTTGGTGACCGGCCCGTTTGCCGTCAATAGTTTGTACCGCTTTTCTCTAGCAACACTACTGGTGACCCCAGCTGAGTCTGATAGTTCAGGATACTTCAAATGGAGTTGTCTGCAGAAATTGAGAATACGAATTACGAAAACATTAACACACCATGTAATGATTGGAAATGAGGATTTGCCAATTTTTTTAAATCTTTAGTATCCCCGAGAACCGAAAAATTATTAAGGAACCTTAATTGGTTCCAATTCTTTGCAGATTAAATAAGGGTTTTTGAGAGATTTCAGATATAATTTTTTTTTTTTTTAAAGCTCTGATTCTAATTATACCGAACGTCACACACTATAATTTATTACACAACTGTGCACAAACAATACAAAATGTTACAATACACAAACATACATGTTAGTGTGCAACGAATTCATTCCGATGCCGAAGTCTGACACGTACACTGCCGATCTGGGACTATCCATTTTCGGGGTGACTTCGACAGTGTGAAACACCCTAGACTCTTTGGGCTCGTTCACGAAACCTATATTGACACTAAACCCATCAGCCGTGCCCCCACCTTCGTTGATCAACACTTTCAGGATATCGTTCATGTTGGCCTCTGCGGACAATAGAGCTCTCGTTATGAACTCCCGGGCTAAAAACCAAAGAACAATAATGTTATAGTACGTAATTAATGACCGATATTATGTATTATATTAAAATGACGATTGAAAAAGATTTTTTTTTCGCGTATACCTACCTACATATACATATATATAGATATGTATAAAATATATCTTATGCTGTTGTACGCGTTAAATGGTCATGGAATGGTAATAAATGGAATTTCATACTATTGTGTCTTTATTTATAAACACTATTTTTTTTTTATGAACGTTTTATAATTTTTAATCACTGAACAGTAACAACAATTAAATTAACTTTATTGAAGAATTCTAGAAGGTAAAGACATTTTTGCTGAAAATTTTTCTGGTCAAATCATATGTTTTGGTTAATTAATTATTTTATAAACTACGGTCCTCTTAATAATAAACTAAATTAATTTAGTAATTTTAACTGTAATGATTGAAATAAATTAAATTTACTATAGATAAATAACCCATACAACTAAATATAGGTAGTTATTTCTGGTCTCTGATAAACTCTAAAACCTCCTATCAGATTCAAATGGGGATTTTTTAATTTAAAGAGTACGCCATGGACGAATAGTTAAACATATAAGCATGATTTTGTGGACCAAACTCCTGCTCCGGAATAATATTGAGCTATAAAATAAAAATACACCAGTTATAAATTCATTGTCATCATCTGTCCAAAACAATTAGAAGAAAAGAATGATAAAACTTGTTCTCGACAAAGTCTGGTAGTAAAACCAGTTTTTTCATAAAATTAATAGGAAATCTAGTAAATCAGACAGAAAAATAACATTTCATCCACCGGCCCGACCCCTATATATTGTATTCTATCTATTAGTATTTATACTCTTATTTTATTTAGTGATAACTTATTATACTCACGAATCTTGCCCCTCAAGGGCTTGCTGAGGTATAACGTGTCGATAGAGAACACTAGGCCATGATGGTTATGACCACTGGCATATCCCGACAAGTGTCCGGCGTACGTGACCGCTTCGAACTTCTCCTCTCTGGGCGCAAATATTCCACCACATTCGGCTTTTCCGGGCTTGACGTGAGCGGCCACGATGTAATAGTTGTTGAGCGACTCGGACACTGCGTCCTCTGTGTGTCCTAACAACTGTTGATCAAAACGGATATCCGGTAAAGGACCTGACTTTCAGTAGTGCTATACTACATTTATAGAGGGCACTTTGGGAGATTAACTCCAAAAAGGATAGATTTAGAAATATAAGCCCCTCGTAATATTGGTACTAAAACTCCAGATGAATGGCTACATATAACCTATGAATAATTAATTATTTGTGAAGATCAGTCATTATTACTTTATTTATGATAGATACTACCATCAACAAATGCATAGAATAATATATATTTATTATTATATTTTGTTGTTTTTATAAAGGTACTATTCGTCATTCGATACAGGTAATAATTATAGTTACTTTCAGAAGTCGAGATGCAAAACGTAATGACTATAATAATCAATAGAAAATATTTTACCGCGTATTACGTATTAAAGTTGTTAACTTATAAATTCCGATGGAACAGGATAAAGCATTATAATAATATACGCATTATATTTTACCTGTACATTTGGCTGATTGACAAAAATTGAAGTACATCCTACAGCCCCTCTGTCTTTACTCGATACGTTCATATTCCTTGGTAGTGTATCGTCTAAGGCCATTAGGAACAACTGGTATAAATTATTTTAATTAGTAATAATATATATATATATATGCGCGTACCATGTTAACATGTATTAATTATGATATTTCTGTTTTTAATATTTTTCAAAATTCGTATATTCTATTCAAGTTAAGAACCTAACTCCGCGGCTGATGTTAATAGCCTCATACTGAGTACTTACTTGCTGACATTACTTGCATAACTATACATGACAGTGGGGGTGAGTTGGTTTTCTAGATTTAATTTATGTATTCATTATTTCCCAGCACACATATAGTTGATCCAAAGACGGATCCAGGGGGCCACTGGGGGTAAGTGCCTCTCCCCTTCACAAAAAAAGTAACTTTTCATAAATTATTAAAAATCAGCATCTTAAAAATGTTTTTAATTTAAGTGTAAAATTAGAACATGCCAATAATAAGCTTAAGTTAGACTTGTACATAACTTCCCTAATAAATACTTCTTACATAATAAACATACTAATTCATAATTATCTTTTGATTTCCCTGGAATTAATTCTCCAGTCTCAGTTTAGGTAAACAGGAATCAACTCGTACACTGCCACAAATGGCTGGCGTACAATATGTGGTCGATTAGAGGCTCAATTTTACATTCTATTTTCTTTTTAATGTTCCGATCGCAAATCGTATAAAGTATACACGAAATACTGTTTTCAGTGGTTATTAATTATTTTAATTAAATAAGTACCCTGGTTCCGGTTTAAGTATTTTTTACATTAATGCTTAAAATTTCACACATTTTTTTTTTCATATATTTCATGCATTATTGTGTTTCATATACGTTTTACACGAACTTACAATATTTGGAGCTAATTGTGCTTTCTTCTCTATAAAATATACGAAAGTGGGTAAACTTAGACATTGTAAAACTAGTGATATGAAACTATGGTAGGAACAACAGCGAAAACTTGAAAAAAATTATGATTTTTATTATATAGTGGTGTCTGTAATCCTGATTTAGTGTTTTAAGAATGAAGCTTCGAATTTAATAATTTCAAATTTGTATAGATTATTAAATATATATAGACATATAGCTATTTTATTTATACAGTTATACGTTATTTTAAGAGTCAATGTGTGTTGGAACGCAATCGGGACATTTATTTTGGATCGTAATAGGACTTTATGACAGTGTTAAGAGAGTGTTGCCTGGCTGTAAGCTTACAAAAACTGATCACAGCCGAGTGTGGTTCTTAACTTGAATAGCTTATAGGTACCTTAAAAAACGGTACTCCCGCTCCACCAGCAACGCCTTTCAATTCAATCACGTATTGAGGGAAATATTTTCTGGTAGCATTCAAACTTTCTTCATAAATCTGTCGACCTTTTGGTTGGGCATACAATTTCAAATATTCTTCTTGGAGTGGCTTGTACTCACTTATAAACTCTTTAATCATTCCTCCAAAAGTTCTCCCCTGGGAAAACATCATTATATTATGTAACGATATTATAACACTGTTATTTCTGTTTAATAACAGACCTTGTAACTAAAATTTTTGGGGATACTCTTTTAAATTGTCTTATACAAATGAGCAATTATAATGTTTACAAGGATATTTATTTGATTATATTTTGTTTAATCAATATAGTATTTTTAGGTATTCGACTATCGGAAACAAAATGATTTCTGTAGAAATTTCACTGATATAACTATAGTATTGTAGAATGTATTTGAACTATATATTACTATGTATTTATACATACCACATTATATCTCTCTGAAACTCAAAGCATCACCTGATATCTGTCTGAGAATTAATTGTATAATCCACAGTATTACTTTGAGATAATGCATCAAACAATCAAACCATTATTATTTATTATAGCATTTATAGCATACAAATATTTATTATAGTATGATTAATTATAGGTTGTACCAACTACCTGTAATAAAAGATGTTGTAAGTTGTTTTCCAGTTGTAGGTACTTACGATATGCGTATATCAACAACAGAAAATCATCTCTCAAATAACAGTAGTTTATTTTTATTAAACATAATTTTGAATCTAACAATATATCAAAAAATATATTATTAAATAATCAAAGTTTATTTGAATTTAAGGGAACTTAACAAATTAGTAGTTTCAGTTTAGAGCACCTATGCATATTTTTCAAACCATTAAACGATTGAAGAAATCATAACATATAAATCTAATTTGTAAGCTACTTTGAGGAATATTCTCCCCGGAATTTCAGCCGGAAAAATTATATATTTATATTCTATACAGGGTGTTTCTGAAGTGTGTGAGGTAATAAGTATACGCATACTCACTGTGATGCCATAATGAAGATTTTTTTGGAATTTTTTTTCTAACTTCAAAATCTGGGTTTTTTAAATTTATTTTGAGAATATTATCTTGAATGTAAAAATAAACACTCTAGTCGTATTTTTTGCAAAATTCTCATACGAATCGAGATATATCACATCATTTTTGCGCTTGTCGCGCGTTTTTCGCGCTCGAATCGCCAACTAAAAAAAAAGTCGTGCGACACATCGATTTGTATGAGAATACTGCAAGATAATCAAAAACTGGAATTTCAGTATAAACACACAAATAGGTAGTTTTTTTATCTCTAACTATTATAACTTTATAAAGTTAAAAGTTATTTAATAAAGGTATGACACAAATGTATGCTAGTAAAATTTGATCGTTTAAAACTCTGTTATCCCTAATTTTGTTATTATTTCATATTTTTTATTAGTCGACAATGTAAAACAATGTGTTAATTAATCGTGTATTATCAATGACAACAAATAGTTATCACCACTGATTATCTTGCAGTATTCTCATACAAATCTATGTGTCGCACTACTTTTTTTTTAGTTGGCGATTCGAGCGCGAAAAACGCGCGACAAGCGCAAAAATGATGTGATATCTCGATTCGTATGAGAATTTTGCAAAAAATACGACTAGAGTGTTCATTTTTACATTCAAGATAATATTCTCAAAATAAATTTAAAAAACCCAGATTTTGAAGTTAGAAAAAAAATTCCAAAAAAATCTTCATTGTGGCATCACAGTGAGTATGCGTATACTAATTACCTCACACACTTCAGAAACACCCTGTATAAAAGTTAATAATATCAATGAGTATAATATACAACGTAATAATTACTCTAGCCTGCGCACCTATATAGGTGTTGCATGTGTTTAGGTATTTTATTCCTCATCCATGAGTGACTCAAAAATATTTCGTAAAACAAAAAAAACCCGAGAGTATACATGTGATATCGAGTGTATACTTACAATGCTGTATCCGACTTCATAGTGTGTACCCTCCACGTAGTGTACCGGTATGGAGTTTTGCCTTGGGGACACTGGCGGGCAGCATGATTCTGCTTCTACAATTGGCATGATTGAGTTTCTTTAATTATGATTTTATTAATTTTGACGGTAAATCGTTATAAATTATAATGGAAGGTCAACAATGAGAATAATTAGTTCCTCATATAGCGATTAAGAAAACAATTCAATATTGTATAAACGAATCGGACAGCCAATCGTGTGATTTTTTACTATAACATGTTAGACGTTAGTTTATAAAGACTTTAGATATAGTAATGTATGTACAACGTATCGTGAATTGGTCGATATTTATATTTCAGCCAATTATTGTTTTTAAGATCGTCCGGCGGGGTTAGGGTGCGAACTGTACCATGCACAAGGTATAATTGTTCATGTCACTATGAAAAAATATTCAGATTTCATAAATGTTTACACTTTGTTATTATTATTTATTAATAACCATATTAATAATAATCTTAAGAATGATCACTGATCAAAATTTGAGACACTTTGAGTCCTGCGAAATATATAGTATAATATATTTTGAGGTGACTAAGTGAGCATCACGTCAAAACATATTCAGTATATTGATGTTGATCGACTACGTGCTAGGCGCACCCAGGTTCTACTAAATAATATTATTTTCTGTATAACCGTAATAATTTGTATTTGTAAATAAAATATATAACTGTGAGAATATTGAAAAAAAAAGAAAATATGAACTCTACTTTACAATTATAAATACACAACGAGATAACAATACACATGTAACTATGTACTACTAACTATGTAACACCTACTAAGTAATTATACACTATACGTCTATACTCTACAGTGGCTTTTGATTATTGAACATATTATATTAAGTCTTACAAATTCGATTAAATCTTTACATATTGTGTAATTAATTAATTTTATTCTTACAACAATTAATTTTCCACAGGTACTTGCATAAGTATTAAGTTAGCTTGATTTATTTCGATAATTATTTGTATTTTGTATATATGTATGTCGTATGTGCTATAGATGTATTAGAAAGGTACTCCATACCCTAACGTGTTTACCCTAGCTATTTTTAGCATTATTCAATTTTACGTCTCTGGGTGTCCTTGATTGTTTTTCCGTTCAAATCGTTCCTCGCTGTGAATAATATGCAAAAATATATTCAAATTTCCAAATACTTTTTCAAATTATTTGTTACTTTAAAAAAATACTAAAACGTATTTTAACATAATATTATTTTATATATTCGTTTAGTTTATATTTTTAGTAAGACTTTTATCTACCCAAGCAAAAAATTATGTATAACTACCTACTCACGATAGTCCCAACTATCGTTTATGCACTGTATACATTAACACTTATCAAGGATATTTAAAATGTGATAATTACATTATCTTAATATAATTTCAAATATTAGAATGTTAATTGTATTACGTTAAATTATATTATTGTTTTTGAGAATTCAAATTAATTAAAATTTTTTAAATTTATTTTTTATTTAATTTATTATTTTTTTTTTTGTAGATTGTTAAGTAATATCTTTTATTAATTTATAAATAATATGTATTATTATACAAGTATAATTGTATTAAACTAACATTTATAATATATTAAAAGAAGTCACTATTATGTGTCTATACTCTACACGCTACAACAATAACTGCAGTACGCAAACAAATTAAAGCTTATTGGATTCGAAATATAATTATATTTTGCATAGGTGGGTATTCTACATTTATATTTCGTTAACTAATGCACTTTTTAAACTTCGGGATAGAATTATCATGATTTATTCAGTAATTGAATAAAGCTGAGTAATATTACATTTTTTTAAACATTTGAATATTCATTCTAAATTCCTTTTAAAAGTATAAGTATAATAATTAAAACTATAGCAAAATATACTCTGTGATTGTGTGTGTGTGTGTATGTGTGTGTGTGTGTGTGTGTATTTTATGTGATTACAAAAAACGTACAATACAATAGTATTATAAAGATAAATGGCTATGTGCGTATCGGCCCTCTCGTTCAGTATTTGATCCGTGACGAAATGAAATTCAAAAGCCACAGACTATAACTCTTCTTATAGTAAAAATATAATTTAACTCGCTTGATACTAAAGGTAAAGTCAGCTCGTTAGATGCCACGCGCCGCTACGAAACGACGGCGGAAAAGGTTTTGCTTTCGCTTCACCTCGCTTAATTCCCATTAAAACAATAGGAAATATTGCGACCTGAAATGAATAATAACCCTTCAAAAAGAATACAATAATATCGCCAGTTTACCTGGTTTGTAGGCTGCCGAAGAAGTCATGACTTGGTCGATGATACCACTGAAGCTCCCCATCATCAGACAGGCGACAACGGAAACATAATATTTTGTGGCAGTCAACATGATATCATTACCTGCGTTCTACATACTACATGGTATTGTACAGTGTGAGTAATTACTAATTGTCATTGACTAATACGTAATAATATAATGACGACATTTCCATCTCATATTACGGACACAGTCGTTTGAACGTTTGTGTGAAGACTATGTTTTATAAACTATCATAACTCTGTAACATTAAGTAAGTACCTTACTTGCAAGCGAACCCGGAAAACTGACCTCTTAACCAGAAAACACCTCTGGAGTGACAGGAAGACAGACAACTAGTGTGCTTTTGCAAAATATCGACATGGAATCCGATAGTGACAAAGAAACAAGTCTTTTTAAGTGTATTTCGATTCGTATAGAAACCCGCCCATGATGGTGTAGAGTGTAGACTGTAGAGGGGGAGAACGACGAGACTCGGTGTATCAGTGGTCGACGACAACGATAGGTTGCTGATGAGGAGAGTTTCGCTGTTCTATGAATAGTTGACGGAGAAGACACTTGTGTTGACACTCGAAACTGTGCATATTATGAAAAAAACTACCTCATACTTAAATAATAGCTTCTTAATTGTGAGGTAGTTTTTTTTTTTAATGGACCGCTGTTAAAAACTACCTCACATTTAAATACTAGTAGGTAATTAATAATTAATACTAGTTATATTATACTATAAGTAATAAACGAATGTCAGGATATATTTTATAGAATAAGTTTAACCAAAATAATGTTGTTTAAATTAAGAATTGTATTAAGTTAGGTTGGAACAATAAAACTATTATCTAATCTATAATATACTTACCAGTTACCACTGGCATTATTTCATAAGCAAATTATGTGATACAGTATTGTGCACAAAGAATATAAGTTCAAAATGTCTTTACCCTATACCTCTTCTCTTAATTTTTCTAATCTAAACTGGCTGGTCTGAGACATCTTGGGATCTTGAAATGGCGATAAAACTTCTGCGGTATTTAAGTCTTCTTTGGGGTCCTGAATAAACGGGTAAGTAATGGGGTGTCTTTGGTCTATGGTTTGTCTACGCGTGTGGCCACACGAGACTCCGTGTCCTCCGTGGAGCTATCCCTCCTATAATGAGTAGAAATATTTTAGTGGCGTTAGTTTAAGGCATCCATTTCTTACGCTACAGGTTTCATTAAGTTCCATATCGACGTATTTAGTATGTTTTGATTGGTTCCATATTGAGCAGGAGTACTCGCCAGCGAAAAGCAAAGTGCTCATCCAGCGGTTCGAACCGTGCCACACCCCACTTACTGCTTGCCAATTTTCTTCTAAGGTTATTTCGTGCTTCAATTTTTATTTTTATTTTCTTACACTGTTTTTTAAACGTGAGGGTTCTGTCTGGTGTAACCTCTAGGTAAACCGGATACTCTGTATTTTTTAAATTGAGTATTTTTCCAAGGGGTACAACTTTGAGTTCCCTTTTTGATTCTCGATTCCGAAAAGGAGATGCGCTTTGTGTAGACTTGTCTTTTAACACTGTTCATAATCTTTCATTCGTTCAACTTAAAAGTATGGTTTTAATTTTTTGGATTTTTGATCCCGGGGCCCGGATGCTTCTTCGTTTTGAATTCTTTTAAGTTCTCGTTTTGTACAGAAAGAGTAAAGTCATGTTGGAGGTTATTTTGCTAGTTGTCTCAGTTTCTAATTAGTTTTTCTAATTTAGTTTTTTTTCTGTTTTACCATTTGAGGGTTGCTGTGTGGCAACTTAATTGGCTGTGACATGTATGTAGTTTGAGTGTGTGACCCCTTGTGCTTCCTGACGAGTTGCTATAATTTCGTTGTTTTTGATCATGTTCGTTTTCCATATCAGTTGAAGTCATCGTTCCTGTTCTTAAGAAAGGTGGTTCATCAGAAATACTCGTAAAATAATAGTTTCTTCGCTATATGGGTCTGTAGTAAATGATTTTTCATATTTCTTTCTTATCATGGTGGTTTTTTGCGTTATGCAATTAATATTATATGCTAATTAGTATGAGTTTTCCCTGTGGACTAAGGCGTGTTAATAAATATAAATATGTATTATTTATTTTTGATTCTGATTTCTGTTACGAACTCATGGATTCTACCCGATTTCAGTTAAAAGTAAATATTTTTCTGTACAAAAATAATTTTGTTCAAATAATTATTCTGATATAAAATTAAATTATTATAACTACTAACATAAATCAATTAGGTAGTTAATTCATTTCTGGACGTACACGATATTTTGAACATTGGCTGAACCATTAATTGACCAACTATTAATACAATTATGAGTGGAGAAATCTGTACATACGTCACACAATGACAAGGGAGTTAGAGAAATAGAGAATAATTGTAAGATCTCCTGTCTAGAAAAATGGAATATAAAAATGACTTCATTTAGAGGTATCACAGTACCTGAGCTTCATACCATTTCACGCCATATTACCATTGAATTTGCACTTTTTTGTTAAAATAGACTATTGTCTATTTCAATTTCAAATCCTATCGTCATCCTGTGTGTGTTGGTAAATATACGGCTCATAATAAATTCAATACTTTTTAAATTTGTATATAAATATCTTAATATCATAACATATTCATAAATTACGTTAACCCATGAGTACTATAATTATTTTTTTTTTATGTAATTAATACATTTAAGGTTTTTACCTATACAATGATATTGTTATAAAATCAATAAATATAACTAATAGGAACATTGAATTGTTATTTCAAAAATATTTAGTTATCGGTAAATCGCTGATCTCTGCAGAGATTCATGATGATAATATTTAGTCATTTCTATTTCGAAAAACCTTAACTGCAGTAACCTTGTCATTTGGTTTGGATGAACTAAAACCTGTTTTAGAGATTTTTCCTAAGTCCCTATTGATTATGCACGAGAGATAATAAGACTTCGTTTGGACCCACAGGATGATATATTATATCTACACTTACAGAGTCGGACACACGCGTAAGGAAATTCGGACATAAATTAAGTATAATATTAAGCAATGAATGATTGTATACATGTATTATAATTGCAATGGCTAGGGTTTTTATCGCTCCTCCGCTTCCATTACCGAAACATGTATTTGTGAACAATGGTAATTGACGCGATACGTGTTCATCCTTTATTAAACAGTCACTAAAACGATTTCCGTATATTGTGCTCCTTCTTGTGTGTAGATACTAGATAATATACATACTACAGGGTCCATCGCCATGTAAATATTTTATGGTTATATTGTTAAATTATTATTATTATCGTTCAAATTTAGGCAGTCCATTTTCCGACAGTTCAAGGCGTCCAAACGCGCATATTATTATAATATTGTTATGTTTGGCCGAGGAGAGCCGTCATTAACAAGCAAGTACGGTCTAATTAAGACTGTTCATTATATTCCATTCGGCTATCGCGCTATACTTCGATACCGATTACATAATATTATAATAGTATTATATCAAAAACTTATGAGAACGCACGTTTTGCACATTTAAAAACCAAATTCAAAAATTATAATGGTTATAAACCTTCCCCCTGCTCTTTAAAATTATGGTACTTGTATCTGCTGTCTGTGTTTGTAGATTGCGTCGAACTCATGGGGAAGTTGGTAGGCAGAAAACGGATACTTTAGGATACTGGAGGGCGTTTTCAATTGACGTGTGTAAAATCAAAGATTTCGTCGTCGCCGAAGTCGACTTGTCATCATATAATATTACAAAGTATATTTTATGATATGCTATAATGACTGTTTTTGAAGTAAATTATTTTATTATTAATAATGCAGAAGATTAAGAAAGAGTCAAAATATTTAAAAAAAATTATATCACGTATAGAAAATGATAAAATAAACGTATTTTAGTGAACATTTCAAGCATCTACGGGTAGTCGGCTGGATTCATTAAATGCAGTGCATTCACATGCATTTGAAACCTACTTAATGAACTGCAAAATATTTAAATAGCACGATCTCCTAATGATCTATTTTTACTTAATGTACTATACCAAACAATCATTGAACAAGGATACAAAATAGAGCTTTATTAATGGACTTAGCTAAAAATCCTTAGCCAATCGCATAACAAAGCCAACAACTTTAAAAGCTTTTAAACAAACATATTCTAAATTTAGACTAAGGACAAGGTTTCAACATTCAAATTATCTTAAAATCAAGATCCATTTATAACGCTTATCGTTATCATAAACCCAAATAATTTCAATATTATCAAATCAATAATAAAAATCAACCGGGAATAAAACTTTGGTAAATGTCATAAACTCATAAGTTATGACTCATAAATAGATAATCACTCAAAAATACCTTAAGAACTAGATTTGGAAACAAAATATAAAATAAAACCAATTTTAGAAAAGCTCAAATGTATCTCGAACAACTTTCGTAACTTCATAATATGCTACTTTTAAAACTGTGCTTCCCCCCAAAAAAAAATTTCTTTATGAATCCTGGTAAACATATCCACCTTAAATAACTTCAATGCAACCATTAAACCTGCATTAGAAATAGGGGCAGATTTTTTTTTAAATTCGTTTGGCTATCTTCTGTACGACTGTACTTCGTTCCAAATAAGAACGCACCGGGCTCATGACGAAAACTGGTCGAAATTAGCGCATCTATCCCCACTACACTTGACGATGCCACCGACCGCGACAGTTCAGCACCATCGGTGGCGACGCCTATAGCTGATTAACGACGACCAATAACAGAGCAAATATCCTCAGCCGGGGATCCGGACATCGCTCAGTGATTAATTTGGATGCGCCAAGGTGATGCACTCTTCGCGCACTCTTCATCTAAAAAATATATATAAGTATAAGTGAACACAATTGTTTTTTAATAAATAACTATTTTAGTTTATGCACACAAGTATAAAACCACATTTTCAAATGCGATATATTCGGCAAAAATAATTTTACGTAATGTATAATACTAATAGTAAAATAAATAAACGTAATAGCAATAATACCTATCATAAAATAATAAATATACTTAGTAATATTATAGGCTGACAGACCTGTCTTCTCTCAGAATCGTTTTTTGTATGTTCTGATTTATTATTAAATTGAAATTTAAGATTTCCATTACTGCAGTGATCCACTCGACACCCACTGTACAGCAGAGTGGCACCCACATACATATCTTTTTTAATATTAATATGTTACAGGTATAATGGATTAAGTCGCCAGGTTAATATTCCTACTCATTTCTTCCAAAAACGACATTGAACCTACCTATTTTTTAACTTTTAAAACAGATTACACTATAGTACGTCGATTGATTTTAAAACGTTAACTCGTTTATTCAAGAGCAACATAAAATGTTTCACTGATTGAACAAATTATTCAAAAAAAATTGTATTTGATACACACATGCGTGGGAGTTGGTGTACTTTATAATACATAAAAAATAGTGACATTTATTATTAGTCCCACATTTCATACATAGGGTTCAAACTTCTCTCTGAATGTTTTCAAGCAATATTTTTTTCGACATTATTTTGTTTACACGCTACTCGACTAACCTAAAATCGACAATTACTGGAATTAATTACAATTGTAATATATAAGCTTCAATGAGTACATAGTATTATATATGCATTATAATCAATTTTTTAGATTTGTTCGTATCCTAGCCTAACGTAAATTAATTATTATCAGACAAAAACAAATACATGATAGGTATGTGTTATACTTTACAAACTACAGTTTATTAAAATTGCACTAACCATACCACTATATGGTCAAGCAAACATTTTTATTAGTAAACACGTATGAGATATACACATTAAAAACGAATAGTGTTATTTTAATTTTATAAATAGTCTATATATAATCTAAAAATATAATATAATTAACAATAATAATTATTATAAATTTAATAACTCAGCATAGGATACAATGTTGTACTATTTTATATAGATATTCGATGACATTATATAATATAATAATGAATATTAACGACCCAAATATATAATGTATATAGGTACTATATAATGGTAAAATGACTATGATGATAAATATAATATCTAATTATTTGTCAGGATAAAACGTTTCTATGACTTCGATCTTGTTGGTGCTTACATCACTTCTTGTTGGGCCAATCAAATCCGCGAATGTTAGTGGCAACTGCAATAGAGGTGGTGTGTCAATTGGATCATTGGTCCACAATGTCCAAGTTTTCTTATTGAAGTCAAAAACACCTATATAATTCAAACCAATAAATATAATTAAAAAATTATAAGCATTCTAAATGAATAATTATTAGATAACTAAAACTATTATTGATTAAAAAATAATGCTGACTAATTAAATGAGTAGTGACTAACGATTATAATTATGCATGTTTTGCACTTTTAAAAAATAAAAACACAATGTGAAAATGATGACGGTAAAATAATTAAAACTATAAAGATAATATAAATTTTTAACATTGAGCTTAATTTTTAAAAATGAAATTGATGAATAATTATTTGGATTAGATATAGGCAGGTTCAAAGCGCAAGCATAAATCAAAACACTTATCTAGCATCTTTAAACGAATTTCTTACTTGAGATAAACGTAAAATAGAATTTATCCCGGTATAGATAGGTCAAAACAGTTACCCTTTTCAATAGAAATATAACGATCACAAACAACAACAAAAATATACATAAATATTAAAATATATGTAATTTATGAAGACCTGCACGAGTTGCATGTCATATCATCACCACCTCCACTTTTCAGTTCTCACTCATGGTTAAGAAAAGGCAATTTCATAAATATGAATTCTAATTAAATTTATTAACGTCAAATCTTATAAGTTATAACATTTGAAAAATTATTTTAAAACTACAAACACCTGCTGTAAAATTTAAAGAAAACAATTTTTTCAATATGGTAACTCTTTTTTTTTTTTTGAACATGATATGCGTTATAGACATGTTTCACGTGCTGTGCGAAAAAATAACAATTCTGTGTAATGCGTTCTCTCGATGCATACACGATGACGTACACATCGCACATATTTTGATCTATCACACACAAAATTAAATCACATGTCGTCGTTTACTTAAGTTTGGTGCTTTTACAAAGCCGCTATATATATATATATATTTATGCGGTACGTTTAATACTCGAGTCCGGCCGTCGTGTGAAGTTGTGCCGAACATGAGCTCACTCAGTACCGTAACTAGGAGGGGATTAAGGGCTTAAACCTCCCGAGAAATATCAAACTTCCTAAACTGTAAAAAGCCGGTAATACCCTAGAACTAGCAATAAAATATTGTTAACCCCCCTCCACCTCAAAAAAAAATCATAGCAACTCCACCGCACTCACTTCATTGGTATAATACTGATAATATTCTACATATAAAGCTACGCGCTCACCCAAATTAATGGTGCTGACTCTGGCTTCAGCCTTGTCACTAAAGATCGGCCACGGATCGTCGTCCCTGTTGCCGAGTACTTCCAACATGTCCTGGAGGTTCACGGCAGTCTTGTTGGCCGTCATATGCTTGTACCGGCTCTCCCTGGACACGCTGCTCCCGTAAGCGGCTTCGTTCAGTTCCGGATACTTCAGATGGAGTAGTCTGAATATTTAAAATTGGAAATATATATTAAACACTTTTTACGATTATTTTCGACGGACCTACAAGATCGAACCTAGTTAAACATAATTAATAATAAACCTAACCATTGGAAATCCAAAAATTCATTAGGTAGTCTTATGACTTATCCGAATTTTCTGAACAATTTACATAAAATATACTAGTCTTCTACTTAACTAAGATCCAGATTTAATCTTAACTGGTGAATATGATTTGCATAAAGTGCATCACATCGCTACCGCCAAGACTACTGGAGTGTTTCCTCATGTATTTACTGTTTATAATAAGTAATAAGTATTGAGGGTTAAAGGCTCGCGCGTGTACACACCTGTTCGTATGTAACGAGTTGCTTCCCATGCCAAAGTCTGCAAGGTACACTTCCGACCTGTCAGAGTCGATTTTCGGGGTGACTTCGGCCGTGTGAAAAACACGAGATTCTTTGGGTACATCCAGGAAAGCAAAGTTCATGTTGAATCCATCAGCCGTGCCTACGCCTTCGTTTGTCAACACGTCCAAGATTTCGCCCAGGTCGGCCCGCGAGGCCAGGACCGCTCTCGTGATGAACTCTCGGGCTATAAAACACAAAAGGGGCTCGTGTTATTATACCGTTTAACAATAATATGTACATCGCGCAGGAATGGAACAGAACCGAGAAGAACAAGTCGTGATCTGAGAATGAAAAGATCTCATGATATATATATATACATATATATTATATACATCGGTTTTTAAACTGTTCAGGAAACGCATTTTAAAGTTTGAAAACATATTTTAGTGCCTACTTCTTTGATTTATTACAAAATTAGATTACCTACTATTAAAAAAAAGCTATAAGCTATAATTCTATGAAGTGCTAACGGAACTTATGAAAACAAATAATTATATTTACAAGCTTATATACTATATGAAAATAAAAAATACTCAACATTTATTAATTTTATTATTTTTTAAAAGGTTCTATGTGTAGAATGTATTTATTTTTCTTATACACTGTGTACATATAAGCACATGCTATTTTGACTTGGTCATTCTTATTGACTTTCAAAATATTTCAAACCGTTATCAGATGATGATCTCATTACGGGTAGAACTCGATTGTATATAATTTATCTTTTTGGAAACACAACTTATTTATGTGTTGTTTGTCAAATAACAAAAAAAAATCAATAAGATGCTAATTTGTGTATAGTAGTTTTAAATTTGTGAGAGCAGCTCTAATATTAATTGCTTTCATTAACATATTGTCAATCTTAGAGACTAGAGGTAATAACATTTTGTGGATAATTTGTTGTATTCTAGGTATTTTATTTTGTATACCTACAATTTTAAAATTAGTGAAATTCTGTGACGTTACACTCAAATACAATGCATTTAATATGTACCTAATCGTGTTAAAATATTTTGGAAAATAATGAGCAATGAGTATACTATAATCATATAATTCAGAGTACTATACCTACACAATCGTTTTCTACCCGCCTGTACTATGTACATACATGTAGATGTGCGATCTATCTACATACTTATATTAGGTTAATACTAACGGATTTTGCCCTTCAACGGTTTACTGACGAATATCGTGTTGATCGAGAACACCAGCCCGTAGTGGTTGTGACCGCTTGCGTAACCTGGTAAGTGTCCAGCGTACGCGAGTGCCTCGAACTTCTCTTCTCTGGCCGGAAAGATGCCCCCCAATTCGGATTCATCGGGCACCACATGAGCAGCCACTATGTAGTAGTTGTTTACCGTCTCGGACATCGCGTCTTCTGTATGCCCTAACAGCTGTACAACAATAATATGTACCAGTTAATAACGCATAGTGCATAGATACTTAGTTTTTTTAAATTAAAAACCCCTTTTTTCATCATTTTCTAACCAACCTCTCAACTATTTACCGGTGCATTGGTATATTTTTCTCGTTTTTACAATGATTAAATTAATTAAAAACCTAGCTAGTTATTTATGGCTTATATATGAGTCCTGAACAAATTACTTATATCACTCTTGTGTCACAAACTGTATTGTATACATATTTACATATTACAAAAATTAATTAACTAAAACATTAACATATTTACAATATTACATTATTTCAGTGAAAAAAATATAATATATTATATTAATTTAAATTGAATTTATTTTTCGTATACTTTTGTAGGAACACATATTTTGTGCACTAATTATACAATATTAAAATATCATGTATTGCAATAATTTATTTTTAACTCATTAATATCGACATAATCATTTAACAGATGACTATAAGCATTAAGCATGCTTATCAGTTCAGTATAAATATATACACATTATATTTTACCTGTGCATTTGGCTGATTAATTATGAGTGAAGTACATCCTACAGGCCCTTTGTCTTTACTGGAGGCGTTTAAATTCTTTGGTAGTGTATCATCTAAAGCCATTAGGAACAACTGAAATATATTTAAATTTATATTATAAAGATATTAAATATTATGCACGATTGTATTATTATTGTTTACAATAATAACAAAACACGTAGATACCTCGTGAAACGGAACTTTCGCTCCATCAGCCACTCCTTGTAGCTCGATCACATACTGAGGGAAGTATTTTTGTGTTGACTTCAAACTTTCTTCATAAATCTGTCGCCCTTCTGGTTGAGCATACATTGGTAAGAACTCACTCTGAAGTGGCTCATACAAGCGTAAATATTCTTTTATCATTGATCCAAAAGTGCGTCCCTATAAAATGATAAAAAATGATATACGGAATTAGTAAACTGTACGTGATTATGATTTTTTTTTATTCATAAAATTAAAATTTCATACATTATTGTATAATTTTTTTTCATCAATTAAAATTTTTGTTGGCAGAATGTATGTTTCAAACGGTTATATCTATCAATTGGAAATTAGTCGGGAAGTTAGCCTGCCTCGATATTTAAGAACCGATAAACTGTTTCTGTATAACGACAGACTTATTTTTATCTTCAACTAATTATGCAAATATTCATATTTAAAAGCCTTCAGACCTCGATTGGCTCAATTTTAACAAAAGACGTTTGTATTTTATACGTAACTATAGCTGTCCCGTCTTGGCATTGCCCGTGTATTATATAGCTATATAAAAAACCTCCTTTAAAAATGCTTTCAAAAAAAAAAAAAAATAATATTTACAAATGATTCTAATGATTTTATACACATATTGTTATTAGAAAATCATTCTAAAGTTATATAATTATAATTTGTATAGTTAACTATTTTGGTCGTGTACACGCCGATGAACGGCTGTAAGTGTAACTCAGCAGACAGCCTGCACTTTTTTAGGCAATGTAATAAAATTCGATTTGATGCATTCTTAAACCTGATCTGCCGATCAGAGGTTGAGTTCTACTAAAAAGTTAAGACAGTTGAGCGAAAAATTAGTTATTGCTAGCAGGTGACTTAAGTTCGTTTAAAATTTATTTTTACCGATTTCAACCCTTTAAAATCGAAATTTTAAAAATCGGGCGACGTGATGACACTTAGGGGGGGGGGGGGGTATTTGAAGCTATTCTGTGAAAACAAATTGGAAAAAAGTTAAACAGCGTTGTCACAAAATTGGTACACAAAAAGGTCTATTCTTTTATATATAATATAACATAAAATAAGGATTGATGGTTCAAAGATATTCTTAAGGGGTTCGTGTAGCCAATTTTAACGATATTTCAAGAAAAATGGAAAAATATATTAGTATTTAAAATAGCGATTCGGTGTAACTTACGAATAATCTCATGACCCGTGTTATAATCGTTTTAGATTATTGGATGGATACGAAATTATATATACAATTATTTAAATCGTGTTGTCGCAGATCGGCTATTACTACTGCTTCGATATTTATATATCTTAAATCTATAGACTATAAGTTATAACACTTAAATGAAAGCATTTTCAATGGAATCTGGAAATGATTTTTCGATAATCCGAGATAATATTTATTTTCAAAATTCGTGTGTTTCCTTTAGTTAAACGATTGTCGTTTTTTGTTATAATAAATTTAAAAAAAAACACACATAACTGGAACTTTAAAAAATGGTGTAATCTTTTATTTTCATAATAAATGTTTTTTTTCACTCTGAAAGCAGCTGCAGCTGATCTGTGAGTCAATTAATAGCTAATGTTATTGTTATTGTTAGTGTCAATGTTATTGTTCGGTTAATGTGCAGACAATTTTCGGTGAAACGTCCCTCGTGCTCACAACCTACCTGGATTTTATATAATATTGTGTAATGTCTAGATAGAGTAACAACTCTTTTTACATTTGCATACAGTAAAAAATTGTACAACCTAATTATACCAGACGGAAGTCTGATTACAAGAAGGTATGTCTATGGTATTGCAATTCGCAGCCTCGTGAAATACTCGCTTGAAAAAACGCGATTCAAATAACATAATATAATGTGTTTAAATTAATCAACGTACAACATTGTGCAATGTAATTCAGTAATTACATACTGTATAATTATAACCCGCCGCAGTGTATACCTGTATAGAGTCAAATAAAACGGAAGGTGATTAAAATAAAGTGATTAACATATTTAATGTACGTGAATATTGTAAATCGGCCGGAACACTTCCTGAGCACCTTCGAAAAAAAAAAATTAAATCCTACGAGAGACTATTATTGTGCACACCCGGTGGGCTGATCCGGCCACGGTAGTCAGTGTCGTCCAGTTCCGTCGAAGGAGAATCGCCACTGCAATGCACTCACCGCAAAAAGTTTTTAATCATTACTCGTCGAAATCGTTTACTAGTAAATTATCGAGGTAATAGCAGTTGTTCATTTACCAACGCGATGGTTTTTAAGTAATATCATAAGTAGGTATTTAATAATGTAATTATAATACGACGATTGTCGTAGAACTCATGGCGCGTACTTTATTCCGTACAATTTATTCGATGCCCATCGTCCTGCATAATCCGAAACCACAACAAAAATATACCGTCGTGAGTTGGATATTATATTTTTTATTATTTCAAGCAAAACTGTTCGCGCGATTTATGCAAAATTGCTATGTCGCACGATGACGAAATTAAAAAAAAAAAAATCATCGTTTCCGTAGTAATATAATCCGTATAATCATTCGATACACGTTGCTTACTCGAGATTTCCGATTATAATAAGTAGTAGGTACCTACATAGTGCCTACCTACCTACACATTAAATCATTAATGATTATTATTCGTGTTTGGAAATTACAAAAGTCCTAATGACTCTAATCGTGATAAAATAAAAGGCAATATAGTAAATATTATACTGGACAACATTAAATAATATATACAATTGACCGTGAGCGTAATATTATGTCTTTAAAATCCCCAAGCCGTGTTCGTTTATTAAAATAACTATGTTATAGGCACACACATTATGCAATATATATCTATGTCATATTATATAGGTTGCGTATTTATATAAGAATATTATTAAGATACCGGAAATCTGTCAATGAACAAGTTCATGGTTAAAAGAAACAGATTCTGTATCGAATTACTCGAATTCTTCGGTTTTTATATTATCAGTCCAGTCTTATAACGCTATTGACGTATTTTTTCAAAAAAAAAAAGTGTAAATAGAGAACTGTGACTGAAGAATTTCACTCATCAATATTAAATAATATAATTTCGACATTTACAATGATTGGTAAAGCAGTTTATATAGGTATACCTTCACATTTTCAATCCGATTAGTAAATTAAGTGCGTTGCCTAGCGTTTAATGAACAACTTGTTAGTTTACGATACCACAATCATAAATAAGTAATAACACTTGTTTAAGTTTTTATTTTTTATAACAATAAAAGTAATTTTAAATGTAAATATTTTGATATCAAGTAGGTTGTACTTAAATAGTGTTATATGCGGTGTTATTAATTGTTATTAATTGTTATTCAATAATTAATTATTTCTAAAATTTTAAGGTTATAAATTATAATTATCTACTGTATCGTCTGTACCTAGTTATTACTATTGATAATAATACAATATACTGCTCAATAATCACAAGGATATTATTATTTTTTGTTATATAGGTATGAGTTGCATCAATGTGCCGTAGGTACTAATTATTTGCTGTTGATAAATAATAATATATACAACTTATTATTTAATCTAAAAATCGTACTTTAAAATTTAAATTTATCTATCATCAACACAAATTCAATAATCTTTCTCGATTAGGAAATTAAAAAAATAAATAGCACACTTAATTATATTACCTATTTATTCAAATTATAATTTTTCACAACGAATTATTTTTATAAACGTTGATAAAAACTAATTTTTAAACAATAACATGATAATATTATATTATTTGATAATGCTTTTATAAACGATTTATCGTAAAATTAATATTGATAATTAATTGTCATTTAATTAATGTAGGTACTAGGTACCTATATTTGATAATTGTTTTTAAATAATAATATATTATTTCATATGAATATCTGAAGTATAATTACGATGATAATTACTGTCAAATATGTTGCTTTTAAATTATTAATGGTATTTTAATGGCAAAATTATTAAGTAAACATCTTATATAATTTCAACATAATAATTAAATGTATAAGCTTAAACATTTCCTGATTAGGCGTGTATCTAAACAAATCATTAGCAAATTGACGAGGCATCGATGTGTAAAGTATTATACCCACTTACGTTTGATTAACACAATTATTCATGAGTTTTATTTTGCTAATTAAAATGTATTGTATTCAAAATTCTCTCAAAATTTGAATACCCAAGTTCCTTATATAAGGAACATTCGGAGAAAGACTAAAATAAAATTATAGAAATACAAATTCACTTTATTCCATAATTTGATACAGTTGTTTTGGTTTGTTGTATCTTAATCGTCTACACTTTACAACAATTTTGCGAAATAATGAATTATAATTTAGTAGAATTATTGGAATATTATATACCTTAGGCCGTACACCTATGCACGTAGTATTACGATGACGACTAAAAACATTATGTTGAGAATAATAAGTTTTTTATTTTTTATTACTATTATTACCATTAATATTATTACCCTAATCATCGTCAGGCGCTAATCCTTGATGGCCAAATTTAAACGACCAATAGAGCAGTATCTAATGTAAAAGGTCGAGGAGATAAAACCTAAGTGTGTGGATACAGAAACAAGCACACTCTATATACTTTTATTTTTATTTTGTATTAGCTTTTTGTACAACAATTATAACTCAACAATTCTCGAAAAAAAAACAATAATACAATGCACTCTGTATTAATTATTAATATTTATTAGACGTGATCGCGTTTACAGACTTCTTAATAATATTATAGGTTTGTAATAATTCATATTTAATAATTATTTACGTATATTTTATATTTTAAAAATGCAATTTGATCTACAAAAATCGCTAACATTTAATTATCCAATCGGATTCATCGTTAGGTACATTTAAATTGCATTTGCAATAGAAGAAATTAAACATCAGTAAATTTAATGCTATTAGGAAATACTAGTTAATATATTATGTGCTATAATAAAAAATGGGCTCACAAGAAAAATTGCAGGTGCTTAATAAATTATAAAATAGAATCTTGTGGAAGCGACACGTACATACGATCGTTTATAGAAACACCACGAAACGGGTCTAAATGAGTGCAGTTGCAGTTGCAGTTAAAATGTCAAACGCAGTCGCAGTTGTTGCAGCCAAACAATATAAAACCTATATATTATTATCATTAAGATATCGAAAGTTGGCGGTCTGTATAGGATACCTATGTTATGTTGGCATATAAGGCATATCCGTACACCGGGTATATCTATGCAGTGTAATAAAAATGTCACATATTAAATGCAGTTTTATCAAGACAACTAGCCAGAAAAAAACACTTGTCGCTTCGAACAAGCCAACTTCCTAGTATTTATATAATATATACGAGTCTACAGTTTAAAACAAATTATCATAGCCAATGATTTATTACCTACATATTTCCATCGTACCTATGCATTTATATTTTTTGACGAATCTATTCCAATTCAGTACATTATTGCGTTCAAACTGACGCACCTCGACAAAAATATTGCCATAGTATTTGTACAAGATATTATACGAAATAATAATAGAATATTCCAATCTGTTTGATGTCAATAAAATAGAGATACGACCCTTCCTTAAAGGAATAACGAGGAAGCGTCAATGCTCGAAATATATCAAAAAATGATGTATTTTTTTTAAATCAAAAATTCGGCGAGCATTGATAACAAGAGTTACTACCGACTGGTAGACACCAACAGTCAATAAACGAATATAATATAAATGATCAATTTTTTATTATTTACAAACATAGCCCACAGGTACAATGCTGTATAAAATAAAATTAACAAACACTGAAACACGACCAAATACAATTTAAAAAAAAATTAAACCCATGCGCTAATAACAAAATACATATAATTATTAGCATGAACTAAGGTTCACCTTATCTAATCTAATATTACCTCGGTACTGACCTCAATAAATATAAAAAATAATAATAAAAATGTTGAAAAATATTGAAATATTGATAAACGCCTAACGTATAACCTAAATCAGAAAAAAAATTTCTAATAGATCAGTCAAATTTAACAATATATATCTATAATTAATTATCATTTCTAGGTATCGAATAATTAATAAATTGTGTTTAATCGGGTAAAAGTTCCTGAAAATTCTTTACTCACGTATTATGACGTCGAATAAAGAAAATATTTTATAATTAATCAATTATGTAAGATGAGTATAACTAAATATATTTTTTCCTAGCTATATTATTAGGTGTGCTTAAGAACTTTTTTTTCCTTATCGTTACCCACGTACCGTAAACAAATAAAAAAAAATATATTTCTGAGATAACTAAAGTACCTATGATCACACTGAAAAATGTACTAAAGCTAGTATTGGTACAAAATACAATATTGGTCACTGTAGTATTACTTTCGTAACGGAAAAATTCATCTTATTTTTACGGAACTGCGTACGATCTGAGAATTGTGTTTTCTGTTTATATGGTTATTTGTTCCTCTGCTCTAATATACGAAAACGTCATTAATGTTAAGTACTTGATAATGGTTATATCTAATAATTGGGTTATAAACACATAAAATCACACCCATTAATTCAATACTATAAAGCGTCATATCAAGAACACAGAATTGACACCACAAGATTATAGTCCTCGGAATCTATATCTATAACACTTCAGCGCACGGTCGTGAATATTGGCGGGTTACAACAATCATTATGAAATACAAAATGTGCACAATACTACTACTTTAATGCATACAATTGATTAGACATAGGCTGATTATACTTACGACGCTGTATCCGACTTCGTAGTGTGTGCCCGTCACGTAGTGTACTGGTATGGAGTTTTGCCTTCTGGACACGGGCGGACAGCATGATTCTAGAACTGACATTATCGAGTGTTGGTTTTAATATAGTAATATTAGGTCTTTGGTGTTAGACCGGACGAAAAGTCTATTTCACTAGACCACCACGGTGGAGGTGTACGAAAATATATTAAAACTGTTATTACGGTCAGACTACAGTCTGGACACTGTCAACAAGAATAAATTACGCGACACGCGGGCGCAAGACACAGGGCCGAAACCGTACGAATCGCAAAGCCAATTACGCGGATTAATTATTTTAAATATACACTCATATAATACAAACACATATATACGTATATTATAAATATTGTTACTTCAGACCGAGCCCGACGCGTTTAGCAATGTGCGATGCATCGCGTCGATGTCGGTTTTTATGCTTTCCGTTGAATTTTTTCCCTCCAAAATCTTTTCCTGTATAGTCATGAATGCTTACACACAATAATATAATATTAGTTGCCGTGCATTTATATTTATTTTATGATGTACGATGCGAGCGCGCGTGTGTGTATGTGTGTGTGTGTGCGCGCGCGCGTGTGTGTGTGTATATGCATGCGTGTGTGTGTGTGTGTGTGTGAAGTGTGCAGTGTGCAGTCCGGTGTCAGATGACCGATAATAATCGAAACGACAATCGGTCGAAACGCGGTATTAAAATAATATAAGGTTTCAGCGGATTAACATTAATTCGATAAAAAACTACGCACCAAAACAATAATTGATAATGAAGCGTATGTGTCTATACCTATATAATATTATTATACAGGTACGTAGAGAGTGTGTTCTAAAATCGATATAAAGAAAGAATATTATCATATTTATATTGTTGGGTATAACTATTAACTGTATAAGTCAGCGTTTCTCAACCTGTGTGTTATACGCGCAAAGCTTATTGTTGGTACGCTAATACGCTAAAAAAAATGTATGAATTAATTCATATTAAATGTTATTTGGTTAATAATTGTATATATTTTATTTTATTTATATTCACTAGATGCTTATGTTATCATAATTTTGTAGTTTCTAATAAAATAAAATTCAATGCAACTATGCAAGTGAAATAACGAATAGTTTTTCAATAAGAAAAAAAAATTATTTGGTCAAACGGGATACATGAACATTTTCATACTATGTAGGTGGTACGCGGATATAAAAAGGTTGAAAACCGCTGGTTCCCAAAATTAGTGAAATGGATGCTGACAAATAGTTATAATTTTGCCGGATAATTAATATTTTCGTTTATTGATAGTGCACAAACGTATAATATATTGAAAACACAAATTATACAACCCGACCGCTTTATCATAAACAAATTCTGTTTAAAATAATTGACAAATAAAAATGAATCGAACTGCAAACTATATATGCGATAAATAATATACGTTTTGATTCTTTTAATTAATATACCGAAGAGAAATCCTTTTATCCTGAAACGTTTGTGTTATTTATATCTATTATAACCGTTTAAAGTTGAAATATTTAAAGTGACTCCCGCCACAACATAAACACGTGGTATAATTGTTAATATTTATCATAGTCCATAATATACGAATGTTAAATAGGGTATGAAATAAAAGACGACTTTCGGCACTCGTGCCTTATCAAAGAAAAGATTAATATTTATTGTGCATACATAGGTACGTAACTACACTACCTATAGACTATAGCTATATGCATATATAACTGTTTAGCTATACCTATGTAATATAAATTTTAAGGATTGCATATGTTTGGCTAGAACAATGGCGATAGTACCGAGGTACCATCCACTTGTATAATACAACTCTGGCTGCAGAGACCGATTAGAACATCGGGAAATCAGGAAATCGGGAAATCGGGAAATTCTTGATGGGATTGAGTACAAAGTACTAACGAGTTAAGGAGACGCCATAATTGCGAAATTCACTCTTTTAAAATGCTTTAAAATTAAAGTATAAAAAATCTATATTATCAACAGAATAATATTCTTACTTCTTAAATGTTGTAATAGGTCAATTTACTCCCAAACTAAACCTAACAGAGTTAAATGAACTATTCAGAACATGCAATTTGCTAGTTATAAGTTTGAAAGTCAGAGATCACGCATATAGGCATGACATTTTCTTAACAGGTCTGCGGCTGTGTTCTGATGTAGCGACGAATAATTTTAGACATTTTTCTCTTATATTTTTCTCATAATACCAAGCAAGATAACAATAGTCAAATTTAATAATAAATATTTTATATTATTAGATATAATAGAAACTAAATAATAAATAATACCTGTTGTTGTCGTTGTTGTTGTTGTGAATGTTATGTAATAAATTATAATTGCTATAATGCAGCTCAAGAAAACAATGATCTCAATTAGGTACCACACTATTATATAACAATAATAATTATTAGTTTATTTTACATTATAAGGGCTGGTATTTAAATGTATTTTAGAAAAGTTAATTATTTAATGCTTTGTTTAAATAATTAAATATCATTATTGTAATTTGGGTAGAAAGCCTTATTTTAATATTTTAATCATCAACTAATATTATGATAAATACAGTACAATAATTGTTGCCTATTATTGTTATGCCTAATGCTTTCATAATTTTTTTATGGGCTACCGGTTGATCCATTTGATGTAAGGTACGTTTCATTATATCAAAAACTAATAGCGTTATTAAAAATATTTGTTTTTCATCATTTTAAATCGTTAAAAAAGTTTTTTTCTATTTTTATTGATACATTTTTTTTTTAAATTTGAATGACAACATTTTTTACATTTTTTATTCCATACAAAAATATTTGCTGTGCTCGAAGTATAAAATTTGAATTTTGGACGAGTAGTTAATGATTTATTAGTGCCTATTAAAGTTTAGATGAGGTGAGTGAAGTAGTACAATAGTGCACCCCACAAATGGTTGGTCCACTACTAAGCTTATCTAATTGTAAATACTTATAAGTTATAACTGATGAACTATTCATGACTTGTTCAAAATTAAATTTTCATATAGATACCTACAAATAAACACCTACTTCAACAAGTATTCTGCTTTAGAATAAGGAATTAAAAGTGCATTATTATCATAAAGGATTAAAATATAAAAAAAATATATTTGCTCATAACGACTTAAAATTATGTGAAAGAAATATTTTAAAAAACTTAAGTTTTCTGAAATAATGAAGGTCTTACGTTAAATGGATCACTCCATAGAGTATTTGCTCAAAATATGGGGCCTGGCAAAGTGGGCTGATAATTATTAATTTTCCCAGGCCGCGGGCTGGTCCGAAATCCAAATCCATCACTGTGACTATTTCAACTCGTATCCGAAATATTGTGTTTGTTTACAACAGTGACTGTAAGTAACGTAATGAAATGCTTATTTAACTAATGAAATATAGTCAAATAATATACGAGAATCATCTTTGAGTTCTGAAGCAGTTGGATTTCCAAAAATAACATGTTGAATACATTTTATTAATACTTAACGTTAATGTTATCACTTATCACAGTTAATAGCTCATAATAAACTTAATAGGTATTACCTATTTTTTCACGCGAGAAAACATGCATTCTTATAAAAACTAATTACTTAATTTTCACGATGAACAAAGATTATAAACTGTATAATATATTTCTATGGTACATGGATAATAATATTATATTATTATATTTTTACGTGTTTAAACCGTACAAGAACTTATTCACTCATACAATTACATGCAACTGCGTGGCACTGGATGATATCTCGATGCGAACAATAAATTACTTAACCACGTAGATGGTATTTTTTCATTGATAGATAGACCTTACATTATAGTAGAAGATTAATTTAATATCATAAAAATATTATCTTGTACTTCAGTGGTCTTATCGCACTCGCAATTTCAATCATTACACTAGCGTGGATATTTTTTACGTCCCGCCATAAACAAAAGAGAGAATCAGTATAAAATGATTTACCTCGAATAGTCATCGTCACTTATCAATAAAGGACATGACTTAAAATTTATTTATTCAAAAATCCAAGTCCGTTTTTGTAAAGGTTGTCGAGAACATTTAGTATTTTATGGATAAATATCTTTGAAAAATGAATGCCCATTATTCGGAAAGGATTACTTTCGAATAGTCGGCAATTTAAACCTTTAATTTCATAATTTGGGACCGAATACATTTCATAAAATTTGAATTCTGGATAATGTCTTTTAAAATTAGAAATGGTGTTTAAAGTTTAGAAGGACGAAAATTAACCCCCCTCAGATGAAGTGATTCACAATTTACATCTCTTGTATTATAATACTTATAAATAAAACAAATTTCCGGATTCCAAACGTATTTTTATACAACACATTAAATTGCAATTCCATATACAAGTTATGCACAGTAACTATCACGGACAATAAAAAAAAATGTCTTTTAAATTAATATCCACAATACGATTACTCAGTTATGTATAGACTTGAGATAATATTTATTTTGTTGTGATATAAAATAACCAGGTTTCACATACCCTATAATACCATACGTTGCCGTATACCATAACTATATTATAACCGTCACTCATACCTACTAACAATTTCGCCGTACTAATAAAGTTACAAAATAACCAATAACGAACGTTTGTTTCGTAAGGGTAATGTACAAAAACGATTTTTAGGATGCATACGAAAAATATACCTTCACGCGGAAGTCAAATGTCGATTTTACGTACTGTAAGTTTCAGTTTACGAATTACATTCGGCCAAAATAAACCTCCTGGTAACTAACGGTACCTTCGGAATGACGGACACATCGGCGATATAAGGTGTTCTAAAAATATGTTTATAAACCTAAAAGGAGGACATTAGATAACCTGCTCTACTGAACAGTAGAAGTCGATTGTACCACGTCATTGAGTACAACACTGAATATATGTGTTAAATTTGAATTCAACGATAAATCATTGCATACGAATAACGGAGACGATCTGCAGCCTATTATCAAACAATTAATATATTGCTATTAATTATTCTAGAATATAATTTTACTAATTATAGAAGTTAATACAGTATAAATTATAAATAGGAAATAGCATACAATCAATCTGAATGTTTTGAAAATAGCATTCTGTACACAAAAAAATAAGAATAAAAGTAAAAGTGTCAAATCCCATTAAAAAAATGTTTGTATCACAACAAAATAACTACCTATAATCGTTATCGTTTAAATATCTAATTTCGTCGATGTTTTTAACTTATATTTAATTATAACTAATAAAATATTAGTTTATTTGTTTTTTAGTCAAACCAAAAAAACAAAATCGATTTTGTTGAAAATTGGTTACATTATTATAGATATTTAGCTAAAAGTTCCCGTTTTTCCTAAACTTTTGTTTTGTTTTTCCATATTATTTTGTAAAATTCTAGAAGTTTTCAATTTTTACCTCTCAAAAATAAAAACTAGACCCAATTTTTATCAGAAATGGAAAATCAAAGCATATTTTCTAATAATTTTTATTCGTGTACACAGATATGTACATAAAAATATTCAAATCATTGTAAAATCTATATGCTCCGCTCACAATCTAAAATTGCAGTCGTTGTAACGGGATTGAAGATCCACTTTATGGATTTTGAATATAAATTCACTATGGGTACGTTTAAAAATCAAAAATCAAAAATCAATTAAATGTTGTACCGACAACTACCTTGTTGGTCGGAAAAATAAGGGAAATGTATAACTTTAAAATGACCTGTGTCATTAGCCTGTGTCATATTACCTGTGTGTACGTAGTAAGTAAATACATATACGTTAAATTTAAAAGCAAAGCTAGAGATTAGTTGTAATTATTGATTTCATACACCGACCACATTTATTCATAGGAAATAAACCGATACGATGCCGTTTAAATATAGTGGTTAGCTTCATTTATGCGTTAAACGAATATATTTGATAAAGGTCATCATTATTTTTGTTTTGATATTATTTGCTTACCTGGTTCATCGGCTACCGGCAATCCGTGGAAGATTCCGCAATTAGCCATCGCCAGGCACGCCAAGACGATAACCGTTTTTGTAACGGCCAACATTTCAAAGATGTTGACTACTGCTCCAGGTATAATATTTTTATTATTACAATAATTTCGTTTCCGCTAGTTTGTCGCCGGTTGTCTTCTTCGGTGCTGGTCGGTTGTGGTGGTGTCGTGTACTAACTAAATATATTATAATATTATTATTGTATATATTTGTAATAACGTGTGTGTCGATTGAATACAGAAACAGTGATATACCTTCGCAGGTGATGGCGCCGACCGTGGAAACACAAGTGCATATTATATTATGGTCTAGAAAATGTAACGATATCAGATAAATGATGGCGATACTGTTACAGTTAACGTAATATTATATAATATAATTGCAATGTGTTATCGAGTGTGCCGCGGGAGGAGACGGACAGTTGCGTGTCGGCGAATGATCGACAGAATCGTTTGAGACGGCGAGACTCGTCTTTTAAGGGTACTTCGCGAGGTGTAATTATTATTACTATTATTATTTTTGTTATTGTCATTAAAATTCTGCACGGTCTAGTGACGGGGTGGGGGAAATCGGACGTACCGGCATTCGCCGATGGGTACCGAAGGTGACGACGTGTGTTTAATAATATGCAAGTTGTTTTGCGAACGGAACGAAAAAAAAATAGAACCGACCATTCGAATAAGATAGGTCTGAGTGATGTCTAAAATGTAATGTCTATACACCGCAATCGGGCAATGTGATTCTATGGTGGCAACGAGCAATTTTAAATTCGCACAATATTGCCATTTAAGTTCATTTGAGAGATTTTCCAATTACATTCGGCCAAATACCGCAGCTTATGCACAAGAGTCCTAAACCATAATTATGGGAATACTATGGGTTTTTCTGTATTTTAATTTCTCTCGATTACGGTCGGGTAACAGGTTACTTATTTTTTTCTATATGCTTCATTATAAAAAGTAGGTACTATAAGGTGAGGTTTCAGATTACATTTTTTGATAATTACTATGTTTACCCACAATGACTTAACTAACACCTGGATACCTGTTTTTTTTTTTTAAAGAGCTTATAAATGAAGCTCAATGAATAAAAACATTTTTTAGACCATCAATAACATTATTATCCTGTCCGCCAACGATATTCTAATATCATAGCTTGAGGACCACAGCTCATAGTTGAAACCATAAAACCTCTTGCGTGATGGGCACTTGACCTATGTTATGACTTGTGAGTTGTGACCCAAACTCAATTGTACAATGTCTCAGCGCATTGGTCCCTGTCACTAACTTTCTTCCAGCTAATAAATTAGAAATATCATCTCAAACATTTTTTTCTGCTTAGATGCCATTCGTGTCGTTATAAATTATTGCCAGCCATAATTTTTAGACAACCAAATTCAAAAATTGTGTAAATACTTACATTTTTAGGAATAATATTATCATATAGTATACGGGCAAGGAGTGCAAATATTCGTACAAAAATATACGTCACTACGTCAGTCGTCACGTGAATTGTTTTCGAATGCGAGAAAAATCCATAACTTAACCATAATTTATGTAAATAATTTGTTCACAACATCACTACGAATCGAACAATTTCGAGTTTTAACATTTCAAAAACTATTAAAATATCTTGGAAGCATTTTTTTTTTAAGTTTTATTTTTCGTTATTTCATTAATACTTATTAGCTACTCAGTAGTTTTATTAGGTAGGTTAGGTACCCGCCAGTCCATGTACGACCTTACATAACAACCGTATGTTGTTTTTCTGAAATGCCGTAAAAATTATCTATAGTTTATGACAATTAATTATTATATTTACACAAAACCCGAAAAAGTCAGAAAAATAATCAAGTATATAAAAGTATAAATTCACGGAACAGGTGAATTTCAATAAGTTGTATTTCGAGATAGTTTTGTTTTTTTTTGCTGGTTGCTGAAGAAGTATATACTTCACAAATATCCCTCAGCCATTCATATTATAAATTATATATATACACTGTTCAGTCAAAATTTGCCTCACGGTATACGCATTTTGAAGAACTGGCAGCTCTAAAGGCTGTGGGCTCAAAGACAACGTTGTTAATCGTGTTTACCAGAGTCCTAGAATATATAGTCACAGATCCGATGGAATATTGGGCAGCGTGCGACATCGTTATTGGGCCACAGCGTTACAGTGGTTATGACTTTGTCATGTTATTATCATTTAAGAGTTGTGTTTAACGCAATTTTAATGGATCTCTATACGCGCATTTACATTTGCGGACTGCAATTTAATCGACGCGAAGAAATTCGTACGTTCAAGGACTTCGTACGTCACGCAATAAAGTTTATGATCAAGGTTCAAGACTACTACAAAACCACTATAAATAGTGTAAACACTGTAATATTATAAATCCGGTTTGTTCCTAATTAAACGCATGCCTGACCTTATATGAAAAAAAGCGATTTTTTTTCATAACTGCCCATCAACAGTATCGTGAAAAGCACAAGATATGCGCTACGCACTACACACACGCATGCAGATGGTGAATCGTCTCCGTTCGTATTTATTTGTACTAATTTACCTACGTTTTATTTTTTCCTCGTAATTTCCGAATATTGTTGTTTGTAAACCATCGCTGTCTTGTATGTTTTATACTTTTAGTAGCAGAATTTACCCATCCGAAGCTCAGAAATCAATGTACCTTGTGTAGGTAACAATCCATGCCTCAGTTCCACTCGAATGATTGTGTGAAAATGTGTATAATTAATAATAATTACACATCTTTATACGCTTATTGCAACCGACCAAATTCACAACTGAGTCTGACGCATCTCTGTCGTAAGCGATTGTGTACCCGTAATTAGAATGGAGACTTAAACGACGCCGCTGCACGCTGCTTGCAAAAAAATTGGAAACTTCCAACAAAACAATTCAATGAACCTATAACGTCAATATTATCGACTTGAAATATATATCCTTTGATCAAATATTCGAACATATTTTTTTTTTTTTGAAAGTTAAAAATAAATTTGAATAGCTATCTGGCTATCTGTAATAAACTATTATCTAAATTAGTAGGTATAGAAATTAGAAAATATATTTACGACTCATTTCAGTCACAGACCATTATAAATTTACTAAAATTTAGCCATACTTGTATGTATAATATTTTGAACAAAACATAGTTTGATTAGAGAAATGTTGTCCACGTAATAGCGAGCTAAAAAAATTAAACCATACTACAGATATAGGTTGTTAATATTTTCAACGCTACAATAAGCATAATAATTCGTTTCAAACGATTTACAAAATAACCAAATTATCTCATTTTGTTTTCAAACATTTGTTGCAGAATCGTTTTTACGGTCGAATTCACAAATACTTGTAGTTGAAGTAAGATTAATAGGTAGCATAGCAATTTAAATATGAATGTGTCAAATTAAACCCATGCTATTTTTTGGGTGCAATTTTAAATAAATATTATAAACTTGATTTGTATTGTCGCTCGAATACATATACTATTACAAAGACTTAAGACTAAAATATCATATGAACGATTTATTTTTTCCTTTAAGTTTCAATACATATTAAATGATTTTATTAATTAATATGTTTGTACTTACAAGAAAAGAACTGATAATGAGTTATTTTAAAGTTTAAAAAAAAAAACTGATTTTAAGTTATGTACGTCGTTTTTCTTCAGTATATTGGGAATCAGTATATCTATATTTGAACTTATTAGAGATGTGATTTTTAGATTGTCTTAGTAATTTTTCAAATTGTTGGGAGTTCAAAAAAACTAATTTAGTCAAAATGCTTTATATTTGATTTTTTTTATTGTAATATATAGGTACAATAGCTGTATATTCAAATAAATGTTATTCTACTAAATATTTTAATCTTATAGCCTTAAAATTGTAGTATATGATTAAGATATTAGATTAATTACCAAACAATCTAGTTAATTAGCAATTACAAATAATTCACATATGTTATGTGATTTTAATATTTTCTACGCAAGGCTATTAAAAACTTGAAATATATCAGTCAACTGTTATTTTCACTGTTTGGTTTTTATGTTCTTTGAACTCCTGAAAATTCGATTTCAATTATATAGATATCAGAATTATCAGATACAAGATTTTCTTCAATTACTAGATTATTATTACGTAATAAGTCGCAACAACCTGGTCGTTTGTTGAAGTTATTTTTTAGTGGTGTAATAAAAAATTCTTGACAATTTCTTATCAAGAAAACTTATAATGAGTACATAAATCCCAAAAATATTTTTTTTTTTTGAGTAAAAACCCTACTTTCAGGAAAAACTGAAAACTCTTTAAAATAATCTTTACAAGGTTACTACATTTAATACACACAAGGTATAATTATAGTTACTTAAAATGGTATGGAACTTCTCTCTTCTTTATTATAATTATAATACAATTGCACTGTATAAAATATAATATCATTATTATTGGACGATATAGACGTGTAAAATAGACTCACGCTAATTATCTTTTTCGCGGTACCAGAAACACTTTAAGAAAAATAAACAGGAATACTACAATTTTCGCAAACGGATGGTTGAAAAATAATTATTATACGTAATAATACGTTTCATTTTTGGTAAAATTACTTGCCATAAAAATTAAAATTTAAAAAAATAAAACGACTTATCGCAGCAATCGCAAAAAGTGTCATTATATAATAAATGTCGTATTATATTTCGACATGCCTCTACGAAGCATCACGATAAAGTAAAAGACAAGCATGACTGCATAAGCAACACACGAAATCACCCATAATTATCATTCTATGAACTCGTCATGTTTTCCATTAGTACTATAAGAATTTCCGAATTACGAACATTTGGTTCACATAAATTCAATATAGAAAATTACTATCATCAACTATAAAACGAATGAACGATAATATGCATGATTCTTGTTTAAATTATAAATTGTCTATACGAAGAGCCGTAATAAATATACATGCTATGATATGAATCAATATAAGTACGGATATTGGTAAAACAACTATGTTTTACTATCTATTGGTCTTGAGTCTCTTACGAATTTTTAACTCTACACTAAATGTATTACCTAATTCCAAAATGTACAAATTGTACGACACTGAGGTGTATACGGTTCTTATTTCCTTGCTCCTGCTGTCTTTCACAAGAAATCGATTTTTTTTCATTTGTATAATTTCGATCACAGCTCCTCCAATCGTTGGTCTATAATTTATATATTCATAAGTGTAAATAAATAAAACTAAGAGGGCACTATCCTCCTCGATCATTCAAAACTTATTTTTCAATCATTAGGGATATTAAATAAAAAATGAAAGGTCTGTTCAGGACCTCGTTACTACGACCGATTAAACTCATTCACTTTCTAAACTAAAAGTGCTATTCACCATTTTATTTACAATGCACTAAAATACCAGAGAATTTTATTATAATTTACAATAGAGTTCATTGATTGAAATGTTAAATCGATTAATTTGTGCATTTTGAATAAGGTTCTTTATAAAAATCAATTTAAAATTGCAACCATGTAAAAATGATTTTAGTTTTAATAAATCGTAACTATTCAATTCTCCTCAAGGAAGCAAATCACAAAACATAAATTCAACTATTTTTTTTTATCAACCGAGCCTAAATGTATTTCAGAGTACTTCATTAATGGCAGCAGATTAACTGCACATGGATATCTCATATTTGAGCTAAGGGTTATAACAATTCTCTTTGTTTTGAATACGATCCAAGAGTGCTTCATCAGAATTTATTCGGATATTTTATAATACATTTTAAAGACCATCGGATAATATTCGTAATGTATATAAGGTAAAAAAAGAACTTGTAATATATTCAAAAAACAAAAAATATAGTTGTTACCATTTGCTAATGTTGTATTCAATTGCGTTAAGAAAATATTATAAAGCATAATAAATTAACATATGTGCGTATGTACTTAAGTTATTACAATTTTAAATTAGTGAAGTTAATAGCCTGGTAAAATTTAAATTTAAAATTTGTATTAATATAATCTTATATCAAACATATTTTTGAACTTCTCCAAACCATTTTTATAAATATCAGAAATCCCTGATGTAATTCTACTAATATATGGCTGGTTTTCAGTTTCTTCATTTATAAAAGGACTGATGAAAGTCGTGAATTTTAACGACAGCTTTATAATAGGAGGATTGGTCAAGGGATTATTTGTCCATATCGTCCACGTTTTTTCAATAAAATCAAAAACTCCTGTAAGTAAATAATTAAAAAAAAAAAATTAATATACTGAAATGTATACTAACCAATGCAACATTTAACAATGTAATTAGTGTAGCTAAATTAAAAAATTACACACATATTTTATAACTGTGTACGACTGTATATAACGACATTTTAAATAAATTTAGATAAATCGCCACTAAAATGAATAACTTTGTTAAAGTTGGAATACAACAAAACTTACTATATTGAACAGATAACGAATTACTGTTATGTGCAGTAAGTAGATATTTACATTGGAATTAGTAATTTATTTTTCTATTAGTAATAAGGTAGGTAAGTTGAACTAATTCGAACCCAATAACAAAACCCAATATACGTATAAATCGTATATAGTTATCAACTGGTAAGAACTAACGTTCCATGGACTGGTTCAAATAGTTTTAAATTAATCGAAATGTTTTGAAAAAGTCATTACATATTTAAAATACATAGTTTTACAGTGTGTTCTCGGAAATAGGGTACATTTCATCACTAATTATCTTGTAAATATTTTTCAAATCTGTTTATGGGACATTAATCTTTACTAGGTAGTGGATCATAAACCCTATTACTTAAATTTTTTCAACTTGTGCATTTTGTACATGCGCAATAAAACTTCATTTTTTTTTAATGCCGATCCTTATATTGCATATCATTTTTGGATTGCATTTTTTCAAGTTATTTTGATCCATCAACTTGTATTTCAAAAGTAAATTGTTAAAAAATAGAGTTAGGTATAATTTTTTTTTTTAAATGTATTAAATTTAATTTAAATGTATGAACTTTGGGGTGAGCATGTACTTGTTGGTCACTGCTGCAAATTCTTGCTCGCTCTTGTTGGTACTTTCTCGGCTTTCCGAGTATGCCCACCCAAAATTACGTACAATTGAATAAAGTTTAATACATTTTTTTTAAAAATTATTCCTAGCTCTAATAACGCCAAATTTGGTTTTAGGATACAAGTTGACGAATCAAAATTACTTGAAAAAAATCTATCTATACGAAAATTATATCATACAACTGGTTGCAATTTCAAAAATGAAGTTCTATTGCGCATTCGCAAAATACATGAATTAAAAAAATTGTAAGTCATAGCAATTCATGATCCATTGGTGTAGTTTACTGTCCCACAAACAGAATTGAAAAATATTTATAGGATAATGAGTGGAGTGATACAGTGTACCAGCAAGTTATACAGCGAAAAGTTCCAACGAACAATAATTTTGAAATTGTAATAAAATAAATAAATACAATTAAAAAGATATAATATTACCAAAATTTGAACATTTTGAAAGTTGGATATGTTTTTTTGAGATGTTTATGTTTCTATAAAAAAAACTTATGAGAAACCTTGTTTTAAATTGTTAAACCTTAGTAGTTAAAATTGAAAATATTATAGGGACATTTTTATGTTTAGACTAAAAAATAATTTGCAATTATTTGTGACTGAAAGCACTATCAATATTCAAGATTATTATTCAAACTAAAAAGAAACATACACTTCAACGTCAACCGCTAAAAGTGTTAGTATAAGTAATTGATATAAATCTTGTAAATCAATTTAAGTCTTGCTTTTTTTAGAAACCAAAAAATTCCAGTCACGTGTTTTTCTTTTAAATGGGTTTCTCTTTTTCGTCATATTAAAAATAGTTTTACTGGAAAAAAATTCCAGTTCTTCGATATAGTTATAACTGTACAGCAACAACAACCACTGTATTTTAGTCAATGTTTCGTATCTCTTTAGTTTTATCTTACCGAGATTGATCGTGTTGACAAAATCACTATCCCTGTCCCTAAAAATTTGCCATTTTCCACCGCGAGTGGATCCCAATATTCTCAGAATGTCTTGCAAGCTTGATATTGGTTCCTGTAACAGTAATTCCTCAAACACTTTTTCTCTGGCCACGCTGCTTTTCCATCCAGATTCTTTTAGTTCCTCGCAATCCGAAAATTGTAATCTATCAACAAAATACCAAATTTTCTTCTCTTAATACATACTGTATGGGAACGAGATGATATATTTTTTGTGATAATAAGACAGTTATTAAAGCTTATATATTAAATTATTAAATTGTTGAGATTATGAAAATATAATTAATTTAAAATAGGTAAGTACTTTAATTACATGATTTGTCCTATTATGGATTTATTTATGGACGAATTTGTCAAAAACCGGTGTTGCGTATATTATATTCTAGTTTTTCTATTTTATAAAAACTGGGAAATGTACCACAAAGTTCAAATAAATTCAATTCACAACCAAAAACCACCCGCAAAGTTGAATATTGAGATTTGTATTGCTCCTAAAAGGGACGTTAGACACACAACAGAAACAACACATTTGATTATTGTAAGTCCTATCGCGGGAAATCTAAGACCTAAACAGTCAGTATAAAACATCTGATTGGGCGCGGACTTTAAAAACTATTGTGTCGAGATATTTTATAGTTAAAAAATATTTATATCATGTATTATGAATATATGACTATAAGATTGTAATATTTTATTGTGTGGACGGTTACTTGTTCGTGTAAAAGGCTATGGATTCGGTGTCTACCGATGTTACGATCACTTTTGACATCTGATCGGTTTCCGACGGGGTCACCTCGATTGAATAGAATACCCGGTTACATCTGCTTCCTTCGAGGAAACCGGCGTTTACGTGAAACGCGTCTGCCGTACCGGCTCCGTGATTGGTTAGTATGTCTTTAATTTCATTAATGTTGGCCTTGGAAGCCAACAGTGCTCGTGTCAAAAACACCCGAGCTGAAACGTACATTTGAGTGTGACAACATTTTGGTAGACACATGAATGTAAGAAAGTTATTAAAAATGATTAATGAATATTTAAAGTGAATTAAATATTAATAGATACGTCATACTTGCAACCACTTATTAACACCTATCGAATATGCACTTATTAAGAAAATAACAAAAGTATATTATGCAACATATAAAAATAGTTAAGGTAACTTAGGTTAGGTCTGGTACCTAAATGTGTTAATTTTTCTAAATTGTTGTGTGTGATATAAGTTATAGATAATATGGATCAATTCATTTAATTTTTCAACTTGACTATTTTGATAGGTACCGATGAGCTGTCATTACACAAATTATGATAGTTTATGACTTAAGTGTTAAAATCATTTTCCTTTAAATCAAAACTCTAAACTAAAATATTAACGCACGTCTAAACCAAAATCATAATAATATTACGTACGAATAATTCCCATGTTAAACACTTCTAAACGTAATATTTTTATTCTTGAACACAGCAATGCACCTATATCACCTATGTGTTACGCCGTGCCACAGATAATAATATATACATTTTAAAATTTATTATTATGAGTCTTAAATACCATTATATTTTCCTATATTATTTTAATTCAAATTTTTTTCTATTCAATTAAAGTCATCTGTTTAAATACACAAATACTATAAGTCATAAAAAATAGTTTGTACATCATATTATTTGAAAATATTCATCTGGACGCAAACATATTAGCTCACAGAAGTTTTGGACATGGCAGTTATGTTTAATCACTGACAAGTGACAAGTGACAAGTGATAACATTTTTTACAATCTAATAATATTACGTAATATATTTATGTTAAAATGCGTTATTATTATTGTATCACATTGTTTTCATTTTACTAATACTAGCCCCATATAATACACATATTTCAGTATGTATGTCTGATACTCTAATGAGATATATAAAAAAATAAATTGTACACAAGTTTTTTAGTGTTACAAAAAAAAATGCAAAATTTTTTGTTTTTTGGCATAATTTTGCGTCATAACTCATAGGCTATCGGTACATTGTGCATCAACTTGCGATCAACGTTAAAGTAATTCAACTCACGTATTTTATTTCTGCTGAGTTTTTTCGCGAATATCGTATTGACTGAAAACACCAAGCCGTGGTAGTTGTGACCGCTCGCGTATCCAGATAGCGAACCGGCGTAAGTCATCGCTTCCCATTTCTCTTCTCTCGTCGGAAATATTCCACCGCCTTCTTCACCTCTCGGCTTGATGTGAGCACTAACGATGTAAAAATGATTTATCGTCGTATTCAGGGCATCTTCGTTGTGCCCGATAAACTATGACGAACAAATATAGCATAAACATTTTTTCAGTGTACAAAAACATAGAATGTAAAATGTTCAATTTTGTATACATGTCCATAATTGTTTGCAAATGTATTCTACTTCAAAATATAAAATTAAAATTAAAACATTTGGAAAGAAAAAAATCAACAAAATAAAAAAAAATATGATAAAAACTAGTCAACATTTTGTTTTTTTGCACATAGCTATAAGTGCATTAGTGTAAAAAATAATAAGTATACCTACTGCAAACAACATAAAAACTAATATTAAATTATTTTTTTTAACATTTAAATATTAATTTTATTAATCACAAAAATTGACAAAAGAAGGTTATGAAGTTCTGGATACACGCTTACAAGAGCATACCTGGAAACGAAAAATTCCGATGAAGCAGCTAAAGAAGTGTCTACTAATAATAATACAAAAAAATAGAACTATCATCTTTGAAAGACGCTATCAGATGTACTTTGGAAAAGAGCAAAAAAGCACATCAAACATTATGGGACCAAGAATCCATCAATAAACTCCGCCAAATCAAGACCTTTTTTAGCTCCAAACTCGTTTCCCCTTCTGTACAATACGAGAACAAACAATATGGAATAAATAAAAATCGGAAACTCAAACGTCACAAACATTACCCACTCTTATTTAATTAAAAAATAACCAAGACCTTTGTGTGGATTTTGCAACCCATCATCAACATCCTTCTTGAATCCCCACACTAAGCTGAAGAAGAAGAAATATTTCCACAACCAACAGATCTTGAAAATATTTTATTTATAAAAAACTTTAATTTATTAATGTATTTCTTAAAAAAAACTTTTCTATTCAACCGAATCTAAATATTTCTCATATGTACTAGTTAGTATAAGTTATAACTATTATTATCCTTATTAGCTAAGCACATTATAATGTACCTATATTTATTGAGATTAATATACTAATAATTATTATTATGTAAAACATATACTGTAAACTGCTTCTCTCCAAGCTAATAGCTACATTGTTGAAATGAAATATTTAAAAAAAAAAGAAATTGACAGCTAAAATTAGCACGATAGGTAGTTCAATAACCTTGTATATTGATAAGGTATGCGTTGCACAAATAAATGGAGCTGTGTGCACTGCAATAATTTTCTATCCTTACCTGTCCCGTCCATGGTATGTTTGCCATTAATGTAGAACAACCGGCATCCGTATCAGCACTAGTATCTCGGACGTTTGTCACTAGTATGTCGTCCAAATGGATGAGGAAAAGCTAAAAATATATTACTATAAAACTCAAAATTATAATATTCAAGTTTTTTTTTTTGAAAAATAAACCGATTTTGGCCTCACCTTGTGGAACGGAACATCAGCACCGGTGGCCATTCCTTTGAGCTCAACTAAATATTGTGGAAAATACTTCTCAGTCTTTTCTAGACATTCATTGTACACTCGTTTCCCATCTTCAGACGTTTCGTAAATTTCCAAATACTCTTTAAGCGGTTCATATGCGTCCACGAAATCTCGTATAATTTTCCCGAATGTCTGTCCCTACATGTACACAAAAATAAGATCTCATACGACACATAATACCGTCATCATTAGGGCCTAAAAAAATTCATTTTACAGCAAAATGACCTTAAAAAATTCCATATAATTTTTTTTTTTATACCATTTGGTAATTTTTTTTGTTATTTGCCTGAGTATGGGTGACGCTTCACAGCCAATAATAAAGATAAGATAAAAATTGAAACGAAATGAATCGAATGATTGTCAATGTGTATGGATAAACGCGATAAACCTATTAAACGAAAACAACTTAAATATCAAGGAAACAATTTATTTTTAGATAATATTATGAATAGGCTAAATATTTGTATAGTATATTGAACAAATATGCAACAAAACCAATAAAATGATCCAATAATGCTAAAAAAAGAAAGATAAAAGTTTCAGCTTTGAAGCACTCGTTACATGAAACAAATTACGTACTTGGAAAGCATTGTCTAAGATCAACCAAAAAAGATGCACTTTGCATTGAAATCCATGCCCTAATCATCATCATTAGTGAACGATATCTGATGTAACCATGTCGTAGAGCCCTATAGGTCAAGGTGACCATATATTTTTAAAAAATATGACGAGACATACAATTTTGGATTAACTCTAAAAAAAATTAACCTCCAAAAATAATTTAATAATTTTTATACTTCTCAACATATTTTCTAGATAAAGTTCACTTTGTTCACATGTTAGATAAGGTGGGTTGTTGAAAAGGGTGATGGTTTGGTGCGTATACATCTCACTCATGCTCTCGCGGTTATTGCTGACAATTATTCATTGGCACTCGACGCACATCATAAGCCAAAAATTGTAGTAAGTATAAAAATATAAAAATATTCTTTTGTATTTATTATCATGTACATGCAGATTTTCTTCTGTATACATGTAATAATAACCAAGATTAAAACAAGACGAACAAGCAAAAAGCTCAAAAGTTTAATAAAACGGGGGAACATAATGTAAAAAAACGAGACAATCTCATTATAAACGAGACGCGAAGGTCATCTTTCTATGGGTATGATACAAATAGTATGAAAAAAACCAATTCGAAGAGTACAACATTGTGCAATTTACTTACGACCATGTATCCAACTTCATAGTGAGAACCGGTTACGTACACTATCGGGACGCAGTCCTGTCTTCTGTATACAGATTTCGGGATTCTGTCTAGAAATATAAATTATAATATACATTATACAACGTACATAATACACAGTAGGTACAAAAAATGCACATAAAGAACGTAAAACTTTTTTTATTCTTTGTCAGTCCTCTTTATGTGTTGTTTGTATACTATAAAACAGTATGGTGTCTCCACCACGAAACGAAAAACTCTATGACATTGTGCTAGGTTTTTGTCGACTAAAAATGACCCTTACAAAGTGCATTAGATATAGGGTATCATAAACTAAAAAGTAAAAACACAAAACTATATGCCCTTCAAATTAATCAAACATGTGTTATTAATTTAAATACAAAATAATACATAACATCTTAATATGTTAATAGAAATTGTTCAGTTACTTCTTTCTTAGGAAAATTGAAATCATTATTGTTTTATTTAATTTTATGCTTGTATGAACAAATAATAATCGTATCTGAGGATCGTATATCATTTTTGAGAAATAGAAATTATATAAAAACCTGTATTGTAGTCCTGGTCTATAGAACGGACGTTATGAATTAAATTAAAAAGTAATGGAATCACGATAATATTATTGAAAAACGTCATGATAATGTCATCATTAATTCAAACTTGATTCTAAACTGTAAATAATATTCTTACACTCGTAAAAAATTTTTTCATATGTCAATGATGCGTAAACAAAGTTACACAAAATACAAAAGAGTAAACTGTAAACGAATTCATAACGGCTAACCTATACATTTATGAACTGTGTACCTAATAACTGGTACCTAATATTATCTACATGTATTTACTAAATATGGGTGACATTTAAAACAAAATTGCTATGTCATACATTTGATATAATTACATACGTACGACGAGGTGTGGAATAGGTGTGATAAATCACACATACATCAAAACATAACCAAATATTTTCCTCTGAGTAATAGACACTCACGATTTATATAGAAAGAATTCAATATTGAAAACGAAATAGGAATTATTTAAAATAAAAATTAGAAGATTTACACTGAATATTATACCAAATTACCAAAGTAAAAGTGCTCTCAATTAGAAACACAACAAAAACAAAACATCGTACCTATTCTTGGTTTAGTTTATAAAAATTCCTTTTTTTCCTTAATTAATTAATTTTTTTTTCGGTTTTTCAATACGTTTTTGAAAACTTTAAGGAATTTTTTACTTTCGACCTCTAGCATAGTAACAACTAGATTAAATTTCCTATACCAGAAAAATGCTGATGTAAAACATCAAAGTATTTCTACTGTCCGAAAAGATAAAAACAAAAATAATTAATTTTAACATTAAATTTGTGATACTAACACAAATCATTCGAATTATCTGTACATCAATGTTGTATAGTATTGGATAGAACCTATTTTATGTATTATATGTCATAACAATGCAGTTGTTTAAATATTAATCGTATCAAACGTGACGGATTTTCGTCAGTATCAGTCCCAAGGTATTTTTTATGTTCCACGCTCATAAAATATGTTTCGAATAAAAATAAAGCCTTTTTGATTTGTATGCTCCCACCCAATACAAATTATATTTAACGAGACCATGCGTAGAAATTATTTTTGATTTTTATAAACACTAAAAAAAGTAATAATTGCTTACATATCACTCAATGACATAATAGTTATCATATTTTTAAATTTGTAATTTTAACTACTAAATTTTAATATTAATTAATTAACCAATTTTGGGACTATATAGTTAATATTTATAATTATTCCAAAATTAGTTAAGTTTAAGCAAAGTAGAAAACCATAAAATAATGGATGGTATTCAAAAACTGAAATTCTTATATTGAGCACCGATGTATTAAAACGTTCTAAAACTTCTCAGTTCTCAACAAATAAAAGTAAACTATTATCCAGACTATTATTTATTATAATATTATATAGTGTAAATGTTAATTATTACATTTTCAAGTTTTTAGGTTCAACAAAAAATTGTATATGCTTATAGACATTTTAGAAAAAAAAATTTTAAAAATGTATATGATTATAAAAAAAATATTGTGTCTGTGTGTTTTTTATATTTTTTTATTGGTATATAATTATATAAAATACTTTAGAGGCACCATGTAAAATACCATGATTAAAGTTTCAAGCTTAAGCCTCAAAATATTTTGTCAACATTTGAACTTAAAATGCTTATTAAAAAACGATATGATAAATAATGAGTGACGAAAGATCCACACAAGACAAATAATACATCTTTTTCCTATCTATACAATCATCACTCCCCTCAAAATCTAACAGAAAGAAATATTTTTAAAAATAATTGATGTATTTTATTACGTCTTGCATTATCGAATCTATCACTACTAAGTACTAGTTACTACCAAACAATGATGAAAAATAAATAATAATATTACATAATACATCTGTTATACCGTAATAGTGGAGTGGCACTGTAATAATGAATTAAGTACTTGAACGATCCATTATCTACACTTATAACTAATATTGTAAAAGTTTAATCAATACCTATACTGATTAATGTTGCGTGATTATCTAAAGTACTGTTGTCATTTCTAATATTAAAATAATAACCATTAGTGATTGAAATCATTCACGTTCGTCGTTCATGTTCATTTTTTAAGGAACTATTTATATTCTCATATTTACAAAAATGAGCATGTTGATCTAGTCGATAATTTTAATTATTTAAATAAGACGTTGAGATAAGTACATAAGAATAAATCATTTTTTTAATGCAGTTTTTTTATCGATTTAATAATACGTTTTAAGTAGATCTTAAGTAATAATAACAGATAAATTTAGTTTATCATTTATAATAAAATACTTCAACATTAATCCAATAACCGAATTTCTTAGAATCAAAGCCTAATTATTAAACTTAATATGTAATTTTGAACTCAATATAACCATACATAAAAACTGTAGAAGATTATTAGATTTTTTTGTTACAGATCAACTACTTACGCGTAATCTTGTTTTGAATTTTCAATCCTTAGCTTTAAAAGTTGAACATTTAAAAAATATTAATTTAACATTAAGTGTTGACTATTGAACCGTTATGTATTGTTTTTGATTGTTGTGAATTATTTTTTTTTAGTCTGTGTACTCGTAATGGATGTGTAAAAAGAGGAATTCAATGATATAAAAATCATTTTACACGAAAAACGATTCTGAGAGTATAATATTATAATATTACTTAGTAATTTAGTATATTTGATGATATTATTGTGTTTAAAGTAATTTATTTAACTATTAAGCATTAGTATTGAGTCCTGCAGTAGATTAAATTCATTTAAAAAAAAAGAAATACATCGATAAGTCATTTGTTTGTTGAAAATATAATAATATAATCCAACAGTTTCGAGAGCCCACGAGTGATATTTTTAAATTACAATTTCTTATCGTTAGCTATAAAATTATTTGTAAATTTTGAATGTAATAAATGTTATCAAAATGTGAATTTTAAATGCTCATAAAAAATAGTCGTGCCAAGGTATTTTAAATATATTTTAACTGCTATTGTAACAATATATCAGGAGAATTATATTCAATTGTTAAGCGTTTTGAAACGACAAACAAAATTATTTATTAGCATTTATAGAAAAAAAAAAAACTAAAAAATGGAAAACTGAAAAAAAACAGGTAAAAACGAGTCAAAATATTTAAAACACTTTATCAATTATATGAGATGTTACAATAAAGATATGGTGTAAATTTCAAGTGTCTACAGTTATTCATTTTTTAATTACAACAAAATAAGAAAACCGCTACATGAGAAATCAAGAGAATATTCGAACACTCATTAAAAATTATCTTGGATTTTTCTAATTTTCTAGTATCTTTGATTTCCACTAACAACGACTTATGAGAAATTCGAATTATATTTTCAAGTTTTTTGACCTAGCAACAAACTTTTTATCGACATTAGTTTAAAAAAAACAATTAATAATCGAAAATGATTAAAATAAGCAATAACATAACTAAACAATGAAAAAGATATTTTGAGATGAAATAATAGGTATGAGGGTATACTAGGTATAGTTATTAGTTATAACAACTTACTAATATGAAATATTTTGTACATACGAGTATCATAATTTACGTAACCACTTTTTTTATAAATTAACATTTGTAAATTTATAATATAATGAAAGATACTCAACGCCCTTATATCCTGTTTCTTTCATTATAAATTTAAAATGTACGCTTAAAGCTTCCAATCTCTCATTTAATACTACATATTATTTATAGTAAAGACTTAACGATAGTAAATAATTATGCACCATGATCCTGTGGTAAACTGAAAAAAAAATGGAAATGTTCCCAAACTCCATCACTACAACTACTCCAATATTCTAAACTGTAGTTTCTTCTATCATATAATCTAATTTTTATTTAAAACCTTATTTCGGTAAACCACTGCATCGTTACAATAGTTATATCTATTCGTCATAATTACGTACAAGTGCGTGTGGAATGCTGCAGTGAACTCATCTACTTCAAAATTGATCAATATGGTATTCAAGTCCAACATTAGACTCAATAGTCATAATATAGCAAGATTAAAATGGTGACGTCACGCAATTAGTACAATAAATTGAACAACAATTTACGACGCAACTATAAAACACTGGTAGCAGTTAGAGTTCAAACGCGTATAACGGACGTTATTCAAACATAAAAATATGATTGTTTTAAAATCAAATAAAATGTACTTACCTTTCTTTTCAATACTAATTTACACGTTTGCTTGCTCGTGGATACCTGCCCCCATCGAGGGAGCGAGAATACTAGCTGTGGAGACAATTGGAGGTAGAAGTCACTGGAACATTATGAGTGGAATTCTTCGGGCATTGGTGGACAACGGTCACAATGTCACCGTGTTCACGCCACTCACCGACGGAAACCGTGAAAACTATACAGAGGTGTCCACATCTACAGACGCTATGCAAATTATAGGACAGGACCTCGATGATATGATTGATCAATACGGTGACCCTTTTAAAATGATTGGTATGGTGTCAGTATTGAGTAGAACTCTGTGCGACGTAATTTATGAAAATAGTAAAATGAAAGAGGTGTTGGCTAATAAAGGTTCCGATTTTGACATAGTTATAATTGAACCAGCATTCTCGGAATGCGTGTCGTACCTTGCTGTCAAGTTGAACTTGCCGCTCATATACACTATACCAATACCAACATTGGGTGTAATGGAACGTATATTTACGGGACACGTGTCCAACCCCACTGTAGTTTCCTTCAACCTGGCAAGTTTTGGTTTTCCAAAAACATTTGTCCAGAGAACAGTCAATGTTGCTCTTTGGACTTACGCCACAATCGTTAGACAAATATATGAACTGACTCTGAAGTACAAAGAACCGAAAGAGTACGATTTGTATGCACCCATCCCACCTTCGTTGGTATTTGTCAATAGACATTTCACAATGGAACCTGCAAGTCCAGTCCAGTCAAATGTTGTAGAAATCGGTGGAATACATTTGAAAGCGGCCAAGAAATTACCAAAAGTAAGTGGTGTAGTTAACATTTAATTGTAAAATTTAGTTAATAGATGTAAATGCAACCTATTAGTGATTTTTGGTATTACCTAAGTTTTCATAAATTTCAAAAGAGAGCAAAAGAGGAGGTCAGAAATATCCACTATTACCTTATATATACAAAACTTGAAAATCAATTAAAAGTATTAATTAAATTATCTGATTAC